AGTGCACACAGGTGACTACTTGATTTTGCTGTACCTAGATAAATTATAGGTTGGTTTCTACAGAGTGAGTATTGTGTGACTGATTGAAACACTTTTGTTACCCGTTTATTTGTCAGCACATTCTTGGAGATGAAAACGGTGTGGGACAGCCGAAAGTTTTCATGTTGGCAATGACGATTTTTAGTACAGTTCATACATGAGGGAAGAATACACGTGTGTAGGGGAAGTCCCCGTTCCGGAAATAATCTGTAGATAATGCTTTGAATTCGGCTTAACAAATATGGGAAATATAATAGTTTTGGAATCATAATTTAAACGAATGAAATATATTTCGTGACATACAACGTAGAAATTGGAAGTTTTGCTTGTGAACACTTCAGATCTTTTGTTCATAATAAACATTCCTCCATTGATTATATATGAAAATGATTAATATGAGATCCTTAAAGTTGTGTTTCTTCATTTCTGCATGGAGTGACACTTGCATCGACTTGTCATATAAATTAATAAGCCGTTTCAAATTAGTAATACTGGACTTTTTGTAATACTTAGATTCTACCTCATGTGGATGAGCAAAGTATTCGTCCATGAAATTATCTTTTAAAAGTGGTACTGCATAAGAAATGAAATTAGTGGACTCTCTTGTATCAAAGTTTTTCAAATGTTATAAGGTCGGAATTTTATTCTTGAGCGAAGTGAGTTGAACAAACGGACTGTGGAAATATATTTTCATATCGAATCCTTGAGCTGGTGCTCAAGAAGTTAGGACCTGGATTCTCGGATGCTTTGATTTCGGAGAAGCTGTCAGAAATACATTCTTTGTGATTAAACATAAAAATTTTTTTGTGATTTTCTTTTTGTGACTCTGACGTATTTCATCTTAGTCCAATCACGGGATGGAGGGTGACTGGTAACCATAATTACGTATTGTTTGGCAGTAACACGACGGCTGCTTTTCCTTATTGAAATCAGTTACTGTGCAAGTTCCATAACTCTCGATTCTGAGATTTCTCTATAATGAAGAGCACAGAAAATTGGATTAACAACAGCTTATTAGTGGCTAAGAGTAATCGAAAAAAATGTATAGCATTTGATTATAGAGAATGTTACCAATACCTAAAATAGCTTATTACTTTTTTTTAAGTCCTAAGTCAAAGAGAGTTAAGTAGTTTGCAGGAAAAATGCTAAATTTTGTAGGAAATTGGCGATTCTCAGTGTATGAAACAAACAGATATCAGCAGTCTGTCAGGGGAAGTTCTTCAGTAGGTTGTTATTACTGCTGTTATAGCTTTCCAACGTCCATAATACTTTTACTGTTCTTTTACGCATTGTACAATATCGCGCTTATACAATAATAAGGAAAAACTGAACAACTTAATATTAAATTAAACCAGTAGTCTACTAAATGCCTGCTAAGTTGTCATATTTTCTTTTCATCACTGTTATTGTTACTTTGCACCACCATTGCTGAAGCAAATTGAGTGAGCGATCGATGACACCAACCTAATCGAAACTTGCAACATCCAAAAATGGTTTTAATTCCTTACATAACTGGCGTTGGCTTACAACAGAACACAGGTTAACGAGTAAAGAGCTATCATCGAAATTGCAGGTAGACTGGTTTATAACAAAGAGTTCATTGAACAAAGAACTTGCAATCTCTTGAAGAGTCGAATGCAACTTTGCTTGTTACACTGGCGGATCTTAACAGTAACATATTAAGCAATGCACATATTCTTTGTTACAGAAGGTAACATTCTAGACAGTTTACATAAGCTTAACTACAACTGAAAAAAAGTTTTATATTTATCTAAGGAATATTCAAATAACACAGTCTTTAATTTATAGCTAGGTTTCCTGACACATACAGGTGATTACGTTTTGCGGCTTTGCATAATTAGTCATGAAACTATTCTGGCGGATACATTCATTTGTAAGATTTTGTAAGGTCAAAGAAAGATGATAATTTTTTTCGTTCCAACTAAAACCATTTCTTCTATTATCGTTTCAAATGGATTAAAACTGAATAAAATCCTGAATTTGTTAATACAAGCACAAAAACTACTTACGATTTGCAGCTCATCATCATAAATTTCTTCACTCTAGAAAAGAATATGAGCAAATTCTTATGAACTGACGAATGATCAGTAATGGTTTATAATATTGAAACTTTTCAAAACTTTTAAAGATTTTGTGAAAATGGGAAGAAAAATTATCCAACAGAAAGCGAATTCAATTTTTCCAGCGCTCTTCGACCTTGAACTATCATTTTCTTAAAAGCTTTACGATAGTACTATCATTCTTTATCACGATAGCAGTAAATGTGTGTAACACTTATGAAAATATTCGACCTACAAATTATAACTATGTTTGACCTTTTGTTATGACCGGATTGTTTCTGTAGTGGACAAATGAGACAATAGTCAAACTCAACATAGTTTCTTATAATATGAAGAGTTTTTAGAAGGAGAATTTTTCAGAAAAATTTTTCGAAAGAGACTTTCAGAAAAAAAAGGAAAAGACCCTTTCCCAGTTTCCAGAAAAAGGGAACCCCTCGAGATTTCGAGAAATTTGGAAACTCTCCGTGACAGGGGTAGACCTGAACCTTCGATAGGAGAGCAACTAACTTCGCTTTTCTCCATTGCTCCAGAAATTGACGCGAGATGTGCGCTCCCTCTCAGTAAAAGCTAAACCCAGTAGTAAAGTAATAGAGAAATATGAAGAGAAGAAGTGAGACGATAAAGAGAAAAGAGAATGGAAGACAGAGAGGATACGGTCATTTAGCAATATGCACCCACTACTGGTTGACCACATAAGATGCTTTCTGCGTTTAACTGCAGTGTTGCCACACGAGACCACCTGCACAGTTCGTGAGGTTACCCGCACGTATATTTCCATGCTGGTCGACTGTCTTCTGCGATATTGATTACACACTGGAAAGGGGACACATTGTGAGGCTTATTCGGGTGGCATAATGAACGTATGAAGCGATGGCGGAGTCCCGACAGTACCACGCGTGTTCGGCACATGAAATCCATCCATTCTGCTTGTTGCCTAAATGGTTTACCTCCACAATAAAGGTTAGCAGTTTAGTAGAAGCTCCTTGCAAGAAGTGAGAGACCGGATATATGGAGATAAATTGATTTAAATTCCCTCCTCGGATGAAAATGGTACAGAGCTGAGAAATTTGATGAGAAAGTTAATTGATTTACATTTCCTCGATCTGTCGAAAAAATGCTACAAATTGCAAGAACAGTTTAGCTGATCAAAATTTTATGACCATGTTGTAGCAATAAATTTTGCTGAATATTCTGCTATTCATCTCTTTCATTGGAAAACATTTTTACTTTTAGTCTATTCCGTTGCGTAGCGATCACATGAACACACTTTTTATCTATCGTCACAGGTGTTTTAGATCTGATAGAAAACTTTGCACATAAGCAACAATTTCCAAAGAGAAATTTTAAAATGCAATACATCTTGTTAGGATGACTTAATTTTCTGCACCTATTGCTACTTAATTTGAAATTGATATTTGAAATAAAATAGTGTGTTTAAATTTGCGAGAAACTTATGTATTTAATGTTTTCCACTTATCGATAATAAGCTAAGCTAAACTCTGTTATAATTCTGAATATTAACACTGTGTAAGGTACAAGTCTGAATGAACCCTAAGTGTTCAACAAGTTATAATTAGCAAGTCTGTCAGATTCATGAATCAAAATTATTTGGATATGAGTTTTTTGAAATTGGACAGACATGTAGACATTACTAATCAATTTCAAAACAGTATAAATTTAAAAAAAAAAAAAAAAAAACAGTTCTTAAGTTTGATATTAATTAAAAACACGTTTATTTTTTAATTTTGATAACATTTCTTAAAGAGGGCTCATCTAAATTTTCTTTTATTTGACACGGAATAGAAGCAAAGTTTTACGAATTAAGTAAATAGATTACTCAACTTTTAATGTTGTTTTTCATTAACGTGGAGAAACTTTTTTTTTTAATTAGGTACTTTCTTTAATAGAAATCTACACTACTAAGATTAGTTTCAACGATAAACTGTTACTAGATCGTATGAATATTGGATTAAGATGTAAGAAGGTGGTAGTTGCTAATATTAGTGGGATAAATTTTAGGTTATGCATTTTCATGTTGATAAGTTTCTTAATTTTTCAATTTTTGGAAAATTTTTCAATGGAAAAATTCAATTTTTGATGCATCATTGGAGAGTGGAAAATCTCTAAATCATCGCTTTTTTTTTTTTTTTTTTATGGTAACGTGAATCTGAATCGAAAGCGATGTAATTTTTAAAGCATAAATATTCATTAATTTCGTAATGATGGCTTGTGTGATTCCTCAATCATTCAAACTTGAGCTTCTTGACAATGAGAAAAAGATTTTTTTGAAATCTTTCTGCGTTTCTGTATTTGCTTAGAATTTTAGATTTTTTTTAGTTTCCCTTTTAATAAGCCGAAACTGACATGTCCATGTTGGATTTCATTTCAAAAATAATAGAAATTTAAAAAACTGAAACATGAATTGTTTAATGAAATGAAATTTATGATAACTAAATTTGTGTAGAGAGCATCTTATACTGCAATCCTTAAAAAAAAAAAAAAAAGGAAAGGAAAAAATCAAGTGCTATTACAATGATGAAATAAATCACTATGACGTGGTGACATTTTTGAAAGGATACGATCGTACTTCATACGTTGTTTGATTAGTGCTATTCGATAAGCTGAATAATGAGAATTGTAGAACCACACAATGAAATGCCAATAAAAATCGTACGGAAATGTTATAATTTGAATTATTTTATTAATCCATTTTTCAATTTTTATTAATCCAAATTATCACCAACCCATACGACTTGACTTTTATTTTTACAATCAATAAAAATTGTCTAAAAAGAAGAAAAACACTTTTTTTTGATTAAAGAAAATTATTGAACGAATGGTTCTCACCGTAAAGACGCTGAAGCCCTTATTCAAGCCATTTTAAGAGGTGAGTGAGGGCGTTGGTGAAGTCGTTGAGAAATCCTCAGTCTCTAAAAATTTTCTAAATTACATTCCTGTTTTAGTGTTCAATGTGAAATTAACATTGTGAAAAATTAGAAAACAGTATAATCTTTATTTACCTGCATGGCTGTAATATTCTTTAGATGTACTTGCGTGTTCCCTTTCATCAAAATCCTCAGTTGAGGGATCACTGAATGCATTTATCCTTTCTTGCCGATGGTCTAATTCAAGTTCAGAAGTTCCAGTGCTCTAGATAAATAAGGTGACAGTCATTATTTACATATCATTTAATTCAAGAATTATGACTATTTCCATCAAGATGAACTTTAATTGTCTTTGATTAGAAAAGTTTCAAATGTCAAATTTTTTATGTCGTCAGCTAGCATAGTAACATTAATTAGGATTCTTTTTTTTTCTAACGGAAACAGAAATCTGATTAACTTTTGCAGCAAAACTTTAGTAGGAGATATGGATTTTAAAATCCATTTTTAAGAAGGTATTTTCAAATTAAATCTGATGTGACATGTGATAAATGGTGTTAAAAATTTCCAGCTAAAAAGGAAAAAAAAAAGACATAAAGTCAGTAACTTTGTATCGGTAATGTCAATAAAACATAAATTACTTCTACCTGATTCAGCAAACAATCGTAATGTTTCATATCTTGAGGAATATGGCCATTTTTCATCATCCAATTGATCATTTGCCATGGAACTCGTCGTAATGCTCGTTCAGTAAGCAATTCCCAAAAATTATTATCTTCCGGTAATTTGTTGCGAAATTTTGTTAATGCTACAAACTGAAAATGTAGTTTTCAAAAAAAAAAATTTTTTTCTTTTTTTCAGAAGCATTTAAATTTTAACATTTAAGATCTGTTTTTTTTTTTCTCTCTCTCTCTCAATTCAATATTTATTTTATAACATCGCAAAAAATATACACTTTTAAAACAAACCTGTAACATATCACGTTGAGCTCGGCGATTTTGGTAGGAAATCCGACCAGCTGAAAGGCCAAGGCGCTCCATTTCTGAGCAGTCACCCTCAGTTGCAATAAATATAATTGAAAGCGGAGCTTTTGATGCAAATATTGTCGCCTAAATTTGCTGTTCAGTGAATTTGTTTAAAAATAGTAAACTAGAAAGAAATTAGACGTAACTTTCGCTAATTAAGTGATACGGTTAAATTAAGTTAAATTATATCTTTTTAAATTCAAAAGAATGTTGTACCTGTACTGTTTCTCGTATATCATTTATCTTTCCCTTGCTGATTATTGCTAGCACAAAATATGGACACTGTAACTGGTTTTCACGCCTACGTACATTGCTAGCCAACCTATAAATGATTATTACATTTCACAATGATATAGATACCCAGTGGGTTGATAAGAGACGGGAATACATCTTTGAACTTATCTCTTCCTTAGATAAATAATATTAGGATACCTGTTGCAATTAAACTTACTTTGAGAGGTGATAAATGATATGAGCAAAATGGGCAGTTGTACTAGGTTGCACTTGAGCATTCGCTTTCCAGAATGCATCAATTAAACCATCAATTCCCTGACAATTAGGATCCATTTCCAAATTCTTAATAATTAACTGTATATACCTTTTTCAGTTAGTCCAATGTTCATTTGAAACAGCTAATTTTGAAAGAATTCATTTCAACTCATCAAAACATCCACATGCATTGTTGTTAATTGAAGAGAAGTGGTACGACTTCTTGTGGCATAAACTATTTCATTTTTTAGATAGATTAAAATTTAATTCCATTTTGAAAATGTTGGTTTTAGCTGTTTAACGATACAATAAATGTTAAACAAAGTTTTACAAGGCAAAATTGTTGTGACTTCCGAAAATATGGTGGAATTCGTGCTCCGAAACCAAAAGCTGCATAGTTTTGTGAGCTAAAAATAACACATGCAATATTTAAATTTGTAATCATTGATGATAAAATCTTGTTATTTAGTACAAAGCATGAAAAGACCCTTCGAAAAAAAGGAAAGATTTGTAAGTCTAAATTTTATTAAATGTTGAAAAGCTTGCAAATTATGGCGTCGAAATGGTTCACAAATTGAGCGAATGACACATTCTACATCATTTGCAAAAGTAGCATTTGTATCGTTTGAATCTGATATCGAGAAATCCACCGCTATAGCAAGAGATAAACAGTACCTAAAATAATATTTTTTCTTTTTTTTAAATAAACTAAATAATTATTTAGGTATAAATTTTATTTGATATATTCAATCTTAAAAAGATACCCATTTATGATGTAATCGAGAAAGGAATAGATAGTGATTTCGTTGCATTTAACCACTTCAATTATACCATTTGCTTTTTTATTATTTTCCATTCCAACGCGTAACTAAATTTGCAATTGAATATTACTTAAAGTATGAAAATAAACTTTGCGTTTACCGCACTGTAACATATATGAATGCTGTTGAAGAGTGATATTTCAGCAGGTTTAAATAAACCGCAAAGATTTTGGGATAGTTTTTACTAGTTGAAGTATAAGTATTTCAAACTTAATAATTGTTCAGTTAACATTCAAATATGTGATAAAAAATGAACATTTAGTACAATTATACTTTAAAAACAATAGCTGAAAAATGTTCCATTAATGTTTATTAAAACTGAAATATCAAATGCCTACGTATAAAATCTTCCGTTCTTCGGCATTTTTGAAAAGCACATCGGAAGTTGTTATGAATTGTCCTATGATTGAACATTTTGTGTGATCATCCCGTGAGTAGCAGACCACTTCGAAATTCCTTTATAATTCATTCGTTTACATTTAAAGTTCCAGCTTACTTTTTTTTTTTCTAATTAAACATCCAGATTAACTGATTCCATAGTATAAGTGACAGAATTTAAAATAAATTAACTGCTAACCATTTCAGTTAAATTCAACAAAGTAAACAGAAGCAAAAAATATGAAATTGATATGGAACCTTTTTTTGGAATCTGTAACTGTATTTTTCGGTAATTTAAATGGCTTCCAGAGGATCTTTGATGAATATAATTGTGAGTCACTTGTGTATAATAAATTACGTGTTTCATTTTCTTCCATTCGAAACATTTGAAAATAAATCTAAAAATATGAAATGAAATAAATATAGAAATATTTAGTTTTCGTATTTCATGATTAATCTCCCCCAGTAATTTCCATTTTTTTTTCTTTTTCTTTTGGTTCTGATCAGAGATGTTCAAGTGATTTTTACAACTGTTTTTACAGAAACTTTAAACAATCGTTTAAAAAACTGTTAACATTTAAATTATTTAAATTAAATGAAATTTAAAAGACCACAGATGAACTATGCAAAATTTATTGCTAAAAAATTATCAAACCTGAGTATTTTCAAATCCTTTCCTTGGAAAATTTTTACCACAAAATTGCAAAAGTATTGTTTGCTCTTTCGGCTGAGCAGTATATGATATTGTCATCATAGCGATGGATTTACCGCTTTTTATTTCGCTGAAAATTATTTTTATTACATATTTTTTGTTAAAATTCATAATTATATAAGAAAATTTCTTAGTTTTGAAAGAGTCTTTTTTTTTAATCATTTGATTTTAAAAATTTGGTGTGCTACAATTTGAAAGTTGGAATATTAAAAAATTTTCTGAATAGAATTATTAAAAGTTTTATGAAGAAAAAAGAAACTTACATCAAAGGTTTTGAAAGATTTGGTGTAGTGGTGACAATTTCTGTGACAAAAAAAGTCATCATTCCAACAATTCTTACCTCTTCTTCACTGCAGTCACAGCTTAAATGCAGATATTTTCTTAATTTTTATTACTATAAAACTATATGCTTTAGAAAAATTGGAAAGTCTAATATTATAATAAGTTTTAAAATTTTGTAGTAAAAGTATTAGAAGAAAGATGTTTTTATAAAAAATATATCCAAGAAAACTTTTATGGCTGATAATTTCAAACACTGAAAAAATATCATATGATTTAAAAAAATGCTAACATTTCAATTTTCAAATGCTGATCCCGTTTGAATGTGTATTCAACTGAGAATACATTTAAAATTGAAATTGCATCTGTTTTTGGGATAATTTCTGTCGTTGTTACCTAAAAATTTCTTTCTTTAAAGTCTTTTCTTACCTTATTCTTTTTTCTTTTTTTAAACCTTTATTGTGAAAAAATTTCTATTTGCAAGCAAATAGATTAGCTGAAGTAAACAAATTTTTTATGAATTAGATCAAAAATGATATAATCTTCCGTTTCTATACATTTTTTTATAAATGGATAATTTTTCATTTATTTATGCATTCGTCTTATTGTGTCTATTCCAATAATGAATGAACTCACAATTTTCCAAGAACTCTCGAAACTATTTTCATTCACAGATATTAAACAAATTATATCATCAAACGCAAATAAATCAGTCTTCAATTCACTGAAGTGAAACAATTATTTATATATGAATAGAATTGAGGTTTTATAAAGTATAAAGCATCAAATTGTTGTAATATGCAAGCATTATATTGGAGCGTTGACTTCATTTACCTTACTTCTTTAACATGCTTTATTGAAACGATATTAAATAATGCAGTGCTTTATCATGAAATATTCTATTAATTAAATGCTTTTTTTGGTTAATTTTTTTAGATAGACAAACCTAATACGTAAGTTGATTTCGAGAATATCTTTTGCAGACGCTTTGTTGCTACTTAATCCATCACAAGAAGAAGGATTTTCACGGCTGTAATGCTGCACATCGAAGGATTCCAGAAACTTTAATTCAAATATATGAATTTTAATAACGGTTAAAACTATATTTTCGTGATAGCCTAAGAAATGCTCGCTTCCGAAACTGACAAAAATTTAACTCCAGAATCCTAATAATCACAAATGATTGTTGCAAGCAAACAAAATTTGCACTAAAATTTGTTTTCTACTTAAAGTGATAATCAGGTAGAATGAATTGCTTTGTCATCATGGATAATCGAGAATCTTCGGTAACTTTCATATTTCAAATTGAAAAGTGTTGGAGTTACTCAAGAGATTTCCTTATCATATCAATAAAATTTTATCGCTTAAATGCGTAGAGACAATATAAAATAATAATAATAATAATAACGACAATAATAATAATAATAAGGAATAAGCTAGAAATCATGAATTTTTAAGCAGCTCATGAAGAAGATCGAACAAATAGAATTAGAGGAAAAATAAACAATGAATTGGGGGAATAATTAGAGGAATGACAGATGACAAAATATATAATGTATCGTGTTTGTAGGATTCAAAATTTTATCATTTAAATGGTAAAAAAATATTTGTACCTTTTTGATCTTTCAGGAATGAATAAAAGCGTGGTAATAATCATTCAAATAAAATGCAATTTTTTTTTTCTTGCAGAAAAAAAAAAGGAATTATGTCTCAGAAAGAGTTAAATCAGATAAATCAAAAGAAGAGGTTAAAATCAGAAAATTTATTCCTTCAGATAGTTGAAATATATTTCAATAAAAACTCAAAATACAACCTCTTCGAAATAGGCGGTAGCAATGGACCAGCTTTAAGCGCTTTTCGAAGCGCAATAATCTGCCGTATCCTAACCATATTCATTGTGACCGATAAATTTTTGTATCTTAAAAAAAAGAGAAATAAACAATGTAAATATATTTCCTTGATAAATCAAATAATATACTTTGTAATACGCAATAACAATTAAGAGAAAAATGAGAAAGAGAAAAAGTGAGATACAATCTTCAAAAGCATACTTTAATTTAACTTAAAAAGCGAATCCAAAGAAATTTTTGTTAATCAGAATTGATTCTTCTTTAATCTTAAACTTTTTTTTATTAAAAAAAGAAAAGTATCTCTTCTTTAGTAAATAATAAAGCAGGCAGATTTCTCTGGAATGAAAAATGAAAGTGAATTATCCAGATAAATTAGCCACAGTCTTTCAGTTGTAATAAACAAAAGAAGTTTTTATTTTCTTTTTTTTGGCGATTAGTATTAGATCTTTGAAAACTGTGAATAGTGCAAATAACATAATGGATGTGTGGCCTAGAGATTTAATGATAAGCGGCGGTCAAACAAAAAAATAAGTGTTGTTAGTTCCTAAAAATTTTTTGCTCAATTCTGTTAAGTAAGTAAGTAAAGTCCTAACCCAAAAAAAAGGAAAAAAAAATGATTATCCTTTTATCAACACTTCACTTGGTCCAATTTAAATATTAAATCGAATTTCTTTCGTAGGATTTCTGGTTTACATGCATAGTAATTTAACATGAATAAACAGTTTTTTCAACTTAATCGTTTTAAGTAGTTTTTTTTTCTTTTTCTGAAGGATTAAAATTAGAGAATAGATAGAAATAATGAATATTTTAAAGGATAAGAAGCTAAAAACAATCAGTGCTAGGATAATGTAGTACTAGTAAAATCATAAAGAATATATTATTGCCATCATTATCTACGAAATAAACTTTAGGCATAGAAAAGATAGAAAAAAAGAGGAAAACTATTAAATTTTAGTTGAATTATCTGAAAAATGTGATAATGTGATGGATACTTCTTATTTACTTTTCATTTTCTCTGTGCTTTTTCTCTTATAGTAACAACAATTTAACAATCCAAAATGAAAAAAAAGAAATATTTCACTAAGTGATGTTTTTTTTTATTCCTTTTCTTTTTTGCAGTTAAATAATATATTGAACAGAGGAATAAAGAATAAAAAATAGATTTTAAAGTGTTAAGTGGCACTTTACGCTTTAAAACGTTATATTACAGATTTATTTTATTTTTTATTTTTCTACTTTTTTAATTGAAATTTGTTTAAACATTAAATATATCATTTTATATCAGTAATTATGTTATTGTTTTATTAATTCTATATTCAAAATATTATGAGAAAAAAATTATATTTAATGAAATTTAACATGCATACATAAATGACAATATTTCACAATCTGAACACGGTGGTTTTTTTTAAATGCATAGCAAGTATAAAATTTAAAAATTTTACCTTCGCCATATTCTTCATTTACACATAAAAGTATTTTATTTAAACCTAACAAAGATGATACAATATTTATATTGCATCAACAATATTATTGTTTAAAAACAGATTTGATTATATTTTTTTTAGCCTCTCATTGAAAATATTGTAATTTAATTTTGAGTAATTATAATAATTTTTCATTAAGCTTATTTTATATTCAGAAAATAAAGATAAACTTATTTTGAATGCTATTTAACAACAGATTCAAAAAATAACATTGAAAAAAGCAATAAATGCAACTGGTTTGCAAAATTCTGTATAAAGTATAACATACGTCACATTTCATCATTTCAAATATCTTTTATGTTTAGATACTAGTTATTTAAACAATTTTCAACTTCAGTAATACATTTGACTCAAGAATAAATTGTTTTTTTCTGCTCTGTCTCAACTTTAGAAGTTTTGTGATCGAAATTTTTATTACAGTTTAAATCTAAATCTTTTTTACTTCAAAGTTACTGCTGTAATAACTAAAAGAAATAGCATTTAACTCGTAACTCATAAATATTACAAATGACATTTTCATTTTATTGTTCTTTTTTTTTTCGAGAAGTCAAATTTCATTTCAATATTGACAGTTCTGTAGTTTTTGGATAACTTATCCAAAAATATGTAACATTACATACTTTCCAGTGCTAACAATTGTAAGCCATACATGAGAGTTATTGAAAGAAATTTTTATGATATTAGTCAGGTTAATTTATTTAATTAACCTGTCAATGTATTTGTCAGCAAATTTCAGTTGTTCACTTTGATTACTGAACTTTTTGATTTCATATTTTTGATAAATTTACATATGATTGTAATAATGAAGCAAGCAGTATAATGAAAGGATAGAGATTTATTAGCGATGCTACTGCACCAAATATTTCTCGTCACATAGAGCAAGCCTTTTAATTAGAATAATTTAATAAGCTTCATCACTATTATGATACCATATCTTTCAGTTTGATTATTCAAAGAAAAAAAATAGAGATGTATGAGAGATCCTGAATGAAATTCTTAGAAGTGGTTCAATAATCACATCAATATGCTTAACACGTAATGAATTAATTACAATGTGATCAATGTTAAAAAAGGTCGCAAAATTTTGTTTATGCCTGCACTTTTGCACAATAATCAGTTATTTCTTTTTTCTTTTGTATAATAAAGTTTATCACACAATTAATCAATTAAAAAAAACTTATAACAATATATATGATATTTGTAAATGATAAAAGCTTGAACGAAGAAAATTTTTTTTAATTTATAAATTTTTTTACTCAGATTGTTTTCACTTTATATATAATCACATCATATATTAATATTTCTTCATTTAGACTCGTATTACTTTATATGGTTTTTGAAAAAATATTCTGTCCTTCGAGCAGCTGCTTTTTTGAAGTATTGTTATCAAGCATCTGTTAGCATCGCTTTTAGATGTTTTCACTAATTCCATATGCATTTATACTATGCTTGAAATTTTTGAATTTAAAAGCATAAAGTTGTGCTAAAATCAAATTAGATTTATAAATTGATAATATTATATTTTCCAAACAAATAGAGACAGAAGTTAAAGGTCATGACAGTGTGTCTCTATGCATATTACTTTAATGTTTCCATGATTACTCGTACATCAATTACACTTCTTAAAGTCCTTTTTCTTCAAGTTGTAGAAGAATTAAAGATTAAAAAAATTTAAACAAAAATCATTGCTTTCTCTACAATAAGTGTGTTGGAAATAGTGCAATTAATTTGAGATTTTTTTTTTTCGAACTTTTATTTTTTCTTTTCCATCTTTTATTGTGGGATGAAATTGCAACACATTTTCAGGCGAGAATGAACCATATTCTTTTCATCACTTACGGTTATGATATATCAAGGCAAAGGAGAAAGAGAATAAGCATATAGAAAACAAAATAAAATAGCCTATCGCTATAAATTCACAAGATTTTTTGTAAAACAAAACAAATGAATTAATTGATATATTAAGTATGACAAGAAAAAGAAACAGGTGAAAATTTATTAGCAGTCTGGTTGTCAAAGAAGAAAGGAGCGAAATATGGTACCAGTGGAGAGCTATATTTTATGCATTTACAAAGTTTGCTGCAATTTTTAAACCCAATAATCTATTGAAAGCATTAGAAACATGTAAGTCGTCTTTCCATAATTATCCAAGCAGAAATAATTATTAAAAAAATGCACAAAAAAAAGGAGAAAGATAAATTGTTCAATAAATTTAATTACCAAATGACTTTACTACCAAAAAAATTGTAAAAAATTTTTTTTAATTAAAATTTTCCTAGAAAATAATGATTCAACAAAAAAGAAAATAAATGAGAAGAAAATCACGTCCAATGGTGGATTAATGTAAACGAAAAATTCGCTGAAAGATTAAAATTTAAATTTTATAAACTAATATAATTTAAATCATAATAACATATACATACGTTTATCGTATATTTATTCATTGCAGTAATTAGCTAATCATTCGCATTATTAAGCAATCAGTCATTTGTCAAATAGTAGTAGTAACCTTTGTTGATATGTTCTTGTCCAAACATTTAATATATGCTTATATTTGTTCATTCAAGTTGGAGTTTTACTTTCTTCTTTCTTTTTTTGTTGCATAAAAAGTTCTATAGAAAAGGGATACTTAAAAGCAAATAAGTTATCGTTTTATTTGAATAAGTTCTTGAATAATCTTTGATCGCTTCATTTCAAATATGTTAAAAGTATCATTCATTTCATAATTTTATGGCAAACCAATGAGTACTGCAAATAAATTAATTTTTATATGATTATTCATTCATGCAATTTACTTAGCTTGGTTCTCCTTTTATCTAAAAAGATTTTATAATGGAGAAATTCCTTCGATATTTACGTTTACAAACATCATAAAGCGGGTCGGCTAAGCTCGGAAATGTAGGAATATTAAAAAAGAACGGAAGAAGAATTCCAGGAACATCTAAGTATTCTATAATTATTCTAATCAGTCTAGAAGAATCTTCTACAATGTAATTTTGGATCTTTCATTATCAAATAAACTTCGATAGATATGTGATAAAATTGAACTTTGACTTTTCCTTAATAACAGTAATACATAGCAGTTCATTTGACATGTAGAATGAACATTGCATACTTGCAGTCAAATCAATCAGAAATTTTACATGTTAACCATATTTCAACTAAGATGGAGTATGATCACACGAATTTCAGTTTTTCAATTTTATAAAAAGACTCATTCTATGATGGCTACTAATATTGTAAACATGCTGACAAAATGAAAAATAGGCAATGGCTTTACACCAATAATGAAAAGAAAATACTTAACAAAAACGCGCAAATACGGTTGAATGCATTTATACTTGAAAGTAACCTCTTCAAAAGAATCTACCAAAAGCTCTTCTCTTCTCGTCTAAAATTTTCCAGACGTAAACATATGCAAAGTGAATTATCGGACAACTAATAAATATTTGTGAACTGCAAAGGGATTTAAAATAATTAATGAAGGATAGGCGGGTGTATTATTGTTATGTACAAGGCGCAATTTGGCATACAGTAATGTGCAATACTGGTTATACTTCTGAAAAATGTTAACGGTATGACTTCTGAAATGTTTTTCATTATCTCTCATTGAAAAAAAAGAAAAAGGAGAAAAAGGTAGAAACTTCGAAATATATTAAATTTTTTTCTAAAAGTAGAGTTAATATATATATATATACATATATATATATATATATATATATATATATATATATGGTCCAACTCATTTTAACAGTTATATTAATTTATCATTATCATGCACTCATGCAAGCAATAATTGAAAAAAATAAGAATTGATAAAAGTAACCATTTTACAAATGTCATAGTATTCAGTAAGTCTAATCTGAGATTAATAACTACTTATTCATATTATTAGATTGGTGGAAAAAAGTAATTAAAGTTTTTACAGTGTTAAATTTTTCTGTGAAATATTTTCAAATTGATATTAGCTGTATTATATATCATTTTAATGCTTAGTTCTTACTTTGTTTTTTATTGATCATTTTTAACTACTCTTTTCTATAAATGACATTAAAAAAATCAAATTCATGTGATCTTTTTCCTTTAAATTCAGAATTGGTCGGAAAACAATGGAAGCAATTCATAATATGAGGCTTACATATTAATAATTGATAATAAATGCATAAGTACATTAGCAGTGGACAAAGTTATGCAGAAGAGGTGACAACTTTGAAAATAGTAAAAATTATTGAAAGCTTGACATGTGAACAAAACATACATTAAAAGAAATTCAAATTTTTCGATGAATTATGAATATTTATGGATGAATAATGTAACCAGCAAAAGCTTTTCAGTTATGTCAAAGTGCAATCAATTTTGTACATTCAAAATCACCTATATTCACAGAGATACTTTCTCGCTTATTATGAAGTAGAAAAATAAAATTGTATTAGACCATTCAGCTTTTTTAGATGTTTTAAATTAATTGAGTCCATACGAGTGAATTAGGTAGTTTGAAACCTTTTTTTTTTTATTATCATATATTCGAGAAGCAATTAATTTCATATAACTATTTCTGAGAGTTAATTATCACAAAAGCACATATTATTCAAATTAAATTTTTTTTTTTAAAAAAAAGCAAGTTATAAATCTTATAAGTTTTCTGTAAGCAATTATTAACTTTTTATATTTTTGATGTTAAATCAAAGCACTGGATGAATTGATAAATTGAAATTCTATGTTGTTTGTTTTATTTAAACAAATTTTATTTATGCAGCTAAAATATGTTTCCAAAATCTGAAGTTATTTGAGTCAAATTGCATATCTTTGTAGAATTATTAGGGAGATAAGGGCATTTTCCGTATCACTAAAATGATTGCAATCAAACAACTTAACTCTTTTTATAGTTTATGAAAATTACTAATTTCATTCAGAAATTATTAAGAAGATTTTTTATCGACTGCTGCCATCTAAAATATTAATTCTAAAACTTTGCATGAAAAAATGATTCGATATTTTTGAATGACTTAACTTAATTACCGCACTAAAAGGAAAAGCACAAAAGCGAGTAAAATAAATTGATTATAAATTATTTGTGCTCTATAAAATAATTTGTAGTATGCATGTTATTGAAAGGAATTTTTAACGATTTTGAAGGAAATTTAATTTTGCACTATTAATTTCAAAATAAGGTAATTTAATTACTTTAAATCTTTCCATTAATTGTGTGTAGGTAAACAAAATTATATATTTCACATTTATTGATGAGAACAATAGAATATAGGGAAGTAATTTTCATCATTTGGTTCAATTCTTCCAGTAATGAATGGCCAGGATTGAAACTGAAACGTAAGATGGAGCAAGTGGTATATTATTATTCCCTACTTTTTAACTATTACTGAGGAAGAAATAACTTATTGCTGCATGGTTACTTATTGTAAGAGAAAGTTCGCTTTCTATTTATTGTTTTCAATCAGAAACAAAATACTGCATAATTGAAAAATAATACATATATGTTAATTGTTCACTGTTCATTGAGTGTTATTGTCATTTTTCAGTCGTCTGTACAGCTCCTTTTCTGCTGTTTGTTCGGCCATTTCACAATTATATGATAATTTAATTAATTCTAAAATGACTAATTTTTTTTGTGACTTATGCATATAATTTCATGTCAAAATTATCATAGTATCCTTCAAATAAAAAAAAAGAACAGTATTTTTTTTCTGATCATTTCATAGAAATTCAACATTTTTTTAAAAGCAATTTCAAAAATTAGCTTTAAAAAAGCATAACAAACGTTTTTCAGTGAGTGTCCTAGAAAGAAGAAGTTGATGCAAAGTGCGAGTGTCACGTTCAAATAAACATTTATGATTTTTCCACTTCAGAAAATTTGACACTTCGCTACCAAATTGGCTGAACATCTGAAAAAATGAAAAGATTTGTTCTGTTAGATCAATTAGGTCATTCTTTTGCTCTCTTTTATATTGGGATTGTTCTGGTTAGATTATTTGTTCAAATAATGCATAGTTATAGTAGTTGCATAGTGTCACCACATTACTAGCAAATGTACTATTAATTTAAATAATCTTCCCACTAATTAATTAATAATTTCATCAATTATATCAACAATTCTTCTGTTTTAACACTTCAAAAACTTTCATCGGTTCTACTATTTGCTAAAAATGCAAATAGATTTTAGACCTTAAAATTTATGTGCCCATTTGGAAGTAATTGCGCACACTGACGATGCAGCAATGACAGATCCTTGATTAAAAGACCAAAAAATGGTATGATAATCTAAAAAAATTCTGCACAAAATTAAATATTTTTGAAAATTTTACAAGATGTATTACAAACTTTTCTACTTTTAAAAAAATACAAATTAAATCAAAATTTAATTTGAAAAAATGCAATAGCTTACAGCATCACTTTCATTTCGAGCACTATTAAAACGCCATATTGCTGCTTTAAGAGTTGACCGATAGCTAACAAAGTTTGCTGTTGGGTCGAACTGATGACGCAGAATGTCAAGTTTACTTTTCTCAACACGATTCCACTGTAACTGTTTATTTCTTTATTTCCATAACAATATTTGAACAAAAAGCTTAATGAAATAAAATTTTAATAACTTCGGACTTCTTAAATTTGTTAAAAGAAAAATAAACAATGAAAAATATGCGTATGCAAGGTAGCAATTGATAGAGGGTTGTTCAAATGGTATTACTTATTAAAAATTAAAATCAAAATTTGTTACTAATTCAAAGTTATCAAAAATTTATTGTTCACCTTGTTCTGATAATCTTTTGTATGTTTTCAAGTATCTAATTATAACCTATTACTAGTAATATTGAAACTGACTGTTAGGATGTATTTCATATAAAATTAACAATTCATATATGTTCATTTTCTTGTCACTGGTAAGTTCAATTTAATATTCTCATTTTGTAGTCACTAAATTATGAAATATATGTCACACTTTCATTTGATACTTAATACTTCTAATATATGAAGTGAGTTTCGACATAGAAAATAGCACCGAAAAGTTATCTTTAACAATTGGAAGTTCTTCTATATAACTTTTCTATAAGAAATTCTCGAAGAAATCTTTGCCAATTTGTTCCATCAGCAATCAATCAATAAATCTTGGCAGTTCTTGTTTTTTCACCTTCTTAAGTATAATTTTAATGATAAAATCATTTCCTTAGTCACTGATTAGACAAAAAAAAGAACTAAAATAAATTTTCAATATTTGCAATGTATTGAGATTTGCACAACAAACTAATTATAAATGTTAAGTCTTATATATATTAAGTCTCTAATAGCATTCTGGTAACAATTAGAAAAAAGAAAAAAAAAAACTGAAAATCGGAAGAATAGGAACGGACTAAATTGAATGGAAACGAATTACAGTTTTTTTCAGTCTTGCTATAAGCGGTAACGATAAAGCAGCTACGATAGCCATAAATGAATTGAAATTGCCAATATTGATGCATTCTTTAGCAACATCAATGAAATACTCAATGGTATGTATCCGACAATGTCTTTTACTGCATCGTAGTATTTCAGTAGCCGTAAGATATGTCAATCGGTTAGACCAATCAATATAGTACTTTATGTTGTTTGTACCATTACCATATCTCTAAATAGGAATAGAAAAAATTTTTAAATTTAATTAAAAATAATGTTTATATTGTTATTTTGAACAATGCAGGAAATTCTTTTGTTTATCTTGTTTCGTCTTATGTTATATCTTTAGAACAAAATTTCCAAAAAAAACTTGCACAAATAAAAACAAACTTTCTTAGTATCGTCATCCATTGAAGCGTAAACAATTTCATCTGGACCAATCATACTGAATCGCTCCTAGCAATTGCTTCAGTTATAGGATTATAGCATTTTATAGACAAATTTTAATTTGTTAAAACAATTGTTTAATTTTTTGTATAAATGGAAAAATGAGATAAGAAGTAAATGAAATGCTTTCTAACCAATTCAATAAGTGTTATTTGCCGCGCTAAAGTTGTTGGATTTGGACAAATTTCCACTAATCCTTTCTGTAATTACTATAAAAAAGATTGTGAAATAATATGACATAGTGAAATATGCTTAAATTTTCATTCGTTAAAAAGCTATATAATAAATTATTAGAACAAACATAGTTATTATCGTCAATATTCATGATTTGAGCCACACTTGACGAAATATTTATCAGAGCTCGTTCGAATCTTTCTGCTCGATCAAGCTAAAATGCGCAATGTTATTTACAACTTAGGTACATTTTATATTCAAGTGAAAACTTTTAATTTATACATTTACTCTTTATGTCCACAAATGTACAAATGGTCCTTTTCCGTTAGATCATATTATCGATTTTTTCATTTTTATTTTTTTCATTTATTTTTTTAGCGCTGAAACAGTAAACGTTGAAATTATCTTCCCGTATGATAAAGTTGTTGAAGTAATCTATCCGTATGTAATTTGCAATGTTCATCAGTGGAACATAAACTAAGCAGTTCAATCAAACGTTGCTGCATTTGCTGATCATGAAAATCATATGGAATGCTTCGAGTCCATTCTAAACATAATTTATAGATTACACGGAAAGTACGTGTTCGTCCTTCTTTTGTAAAATTTGCTCCAGTAGCATTCTGCTTGAAAACACATTGCTGCAATAAAAAAATTAAATTTTTTTTTTATCTACAGCAGAAACTGCATAGCTAATTTTTTTACGTGTTAAAATATGAGAAAAGTAAAAGTATTAGGTTAAATTAGATAAAAATTAAAATAGACCTGTAAAATTTTTTGTATCAAATCTGGTGGTGATATGAAAATACGAATATTAAGTAAAGCAGCAAAAATGTATGATTGTTCAATTGAGTAATTACCACTTGGAATAAGTAGTTCGATTAGTGAGTCCAAAGTAACACTCATCAACGACCCCTCCTTATCAAATATTCTGTCCTATAATATGACGGTTATGAGTGATTTGAATAAAGCTGAATTTTCATATCATTGGCGCTATATACCACTTTCCTTATAGTAAAATAATAATTATATTTTTTGAAATCATCCTATATCATTAGAATTTGTTACATATGATCATCTCGGTTAATTTCATATTTTATTTATAATTTTAGATGAGCAAAATTTAGCAAAAAATAATTCCAAAATACTCTATTACTTTTCTAGTCTTATTTCCTCGTTTACATTGTTTATCCACCACAAATATTGAATATTTTTACTGCAAAATTTAAAATCTTTTTCTGTCATTTTCTGCAATACTTAAGTTTTTATCTACAACTGAAACATTGGAATTCAATAACTCATAATAAAACTACGTTTCTTTTTAAAACAAATCAAGCAAAAAGCACCGGAATGGAACGAATATGCTCTTCGAAGGTTGGGTGCGAAGTTGATGGCCTTCCTATCAATGAATCTTGCTTAGATAATGGTTTTTGTTTGTTGATTCTTTCTTGATCATTTTCCATCATTTTCCGATTTCCATTAGGTAAATCATTTGATGCCATTAACATTAGCATTCCTTTACCTTCTTCATCAATTTATTTGTATTCAAAAATAATAAATAACGTAAGACAATTATATCGTTTAAAAAAGCAAAAAAACACTTCAAGAGTTCGTTGTATATCACTTCATTAATATCAATGTACTAAGTCGATAGTGCTTCAGTCGGGAAAAGAATAATTGATGGAGGTTTAATTGCTGCTGAATTTTTTCTTGTCTCTTTTGTTTTGTTAACTTTTGATCTTTTGAATTGCAATCAAATCGTAATCAGTTGTAATCAAAAATCCAACTGCAATCAATTATAATCAAAAAGTGGACATTATAATTGATGATGGAATGAATTTGTGTTGGTAATAAATGTCTTCAATAATGTTATAAATTCAAAATATAAATTATGTTAGTCAGTATTTTCAAACGATCCTTCTTTTCTTCAAATAATATCACAATATTATTTGCTATAATTTTATTGGTATAATTAGTCTATTCTACTCAAAGGACACTGATAAGAAAGTATAGAATATTAGCGATTATATACATGCGGATTCATCATTGTAAACAAAATTAAAAACCTTTACCTAAATTTGCGAATAGAAAAAAAGATAGGATGCAGATATAGTTTTACATATTAAATTTTTTACGATTTACTGTAAAGTAACAACTAAAGTTATTCAATCCAAAATCCAACTTTTTCGTATTTGTTTAAATTTCAAATTATTGAAAATAACAAAATGATTTCTTACCATTCTAATACTTTCATTTTTTCAATATATGTCACCAGAAAACTTCGGTATAACTTATCGTGATAAAAAAAATTGTTCATGCATCAGCTATCAATGATTCATAAAGTATATGTAAAAGTATTACTAAGCATAATGAAATTATAGCATCATACAACTTGTGCAAAATAATATGATTAACAAACCTCTCATCGGAATCAAAAATCCCATCAAATTTGTTAAATTTATCAAACTATTCATTCCATAGCCTTATGGCTGATGAATTCATGCAAATCAAAGATTTGATAAAAGATAAACTTTCTGCGACATGGGAAAAAGTGAACTAGAATACATGGTAGAAAAAAAAGAGGGAATTCTCTGGGTTTATAAATGTTACAATAGAATAATTTTCAATTATCATCTTATTTGATAACAATTACTACTGCATCGGCACTAACTAACATTTTACATCTACAAACATAAACAGTCTACTGAATTAATGAAAGCGATGAAGTCTACTGGCAAGTGAGGATCATGAGAAATGCAGAATAATTACTGGTGAAATAATTTTTGCTCATGAAAAGATACGGTAAATTTGATATTAAATTTTGGGTAGCAACAAATAAATAGTACAATATTGAATAAAATAACTTTAATATTCCACTAAACATTTCTTCTAACAACTAATAGTAATAATAAATGATTAATTTATTAATAAGTTATTATCTCACTGGTGTTCCACTTAGATTAATAAATTGCTAAGTATCCTAATTAAAACAAAAAAAAATCCATCCACCATGATACCTCAAAATTCAAAATTATCATAAAGGAAGTGGAGTTTTCATTAAATTATAATTTAATGAACTCACATAAAATTCAAGAACTTAAAGGAGAGAATGCGAGCCAAAAGGAAGTGAAAATCATGACTAAACATAATATAAAGAATTTTGGATCTAAAATTTCCATAACACATTCTGGGGAGGTGTGGGAGGGTGAGGGAGGGAGGGGGGTGGGGAAAAAAACGGATTAAAAGAAGCCATTAAATAAGATGATATTCAAGTCCGTCCATTATTTACTTTCAGCAGCTGTGTCCTTTTTAAAAATGGATAAATTATTTGAATAGTTCTAGAAAGACTAAGCATATTTTATTTGATAAAACGATGTGACGCATCATTTTGAATTTCACTAAACGAAAATTTAATGTGTAATTAAGAAAAAAAACTTCTTTACACTTTGTTCTTGGACATAGATGGAATACTTGAGGGAAGGAAGAATGTCATGGGATTAGTAGAAAAGAGAGAGAGAGAGAGAAAAGCAGAAACTTCAACAGAGCAGATGGTAAAGTCTTGTATAAACTTGTATAAAAAAAAAAAACTAAAAAAAATGTTGTAAATAAACTGAAAAATTAAAAAAAAAATGTTTTGAAAATTTACAAACTAAGTCTCACACCTACAATTAATTCTTAAGTTAATAATTTTTGTAAATAAATTGTCAATAAGATAGTTGCATTACCAATTAATTCGACAGTTACTATCTCATCAAAAAATTGCTCACAATTTACCTAACAAATCTTAGAATCCTTAATGTTTTTTCTTATCTCTGTTGTCGTTGCTGTTGTTGCTTGCTGCATTAATTGGTAATTTTGCAGAGCAGACAAAATTGCCAAGTATAGTTATTAAAGTATGAGAAAAGAGATAATTTTAATAGAAAATTTCATGTTTTGTGGTCATGAAAAATTAGGTCGCACATACATAATCTTACAATATGTATCCACTTTCTTCTTCCTAGTTACCAGCTTCAAATTTTCATATTTTCGCATCTTTACCTTTTATCTACTTTTCCTTCTCCTCTCTCCCTCTTTCCACTTCTCTCTTTCTCTTATTCTTTTTCACTTCTCGTTTATCACTTCATTAAGGATTAAGAGAACATTAAGCTATTACCGCATTTACCTACTTATTGAGTTTGGAAGTTCGTTGAATTTTCATTAAAAATCGGTGATACAAAAGACTATCAGAAATTCAATCCTTCTGCATCACTTTTCACTACCAATTTTTTAGCCATAAATATTGGTTATTTTTCAAATAAATAATTAATTTTGTTGTTTTCTAGAAATATTTAAATTATTTAAGGAAACAATGTGAATTTTGCCTCTTCTTCATCCAAAATTATTTTTTCTTATCTCTGACAACTCCTCCATTCTCCACCTCCCCCCAGACGAAAAAAAAAAAAAAGAAACAAATTCATTATATTAGTGTATCTGTTATATTATTTACTCAATGATAGGAAAACTTAAAAAAGAATTAATCAGTGATTAAATAACAACAGAATAGAGTATTTTTAAATTTCGACAAATATATAGCTTTTAAGTAAAGCATTTAAGAAACAAACCAAACAAGTCAGCAAGAAAGTATTAAAACTGAAAGTGTGCATTGAAAACATAATGTAAATATGATGCGTATAGCACTCATTTTTTTTTCTTCGCTTGAAAAGAGGAAGAATGTGAAACATATTCAAATGATACTAGAAGATGAAGCATCAATGGCATATTCAATTCAATTTATCAGATAGTAGCTAACTCATTAAATCTCCGCGTGACATGCTAAGTTGCTTGATAAGCTTTACGCTAGGCTAAACTAGCCTTTCAAAATGCTCTCCATTCTTCATACACATACGAATACTCCAGTTCATAATACTTAATTCACTAATATTTATAATTTGTAATTAAATTACACTTTTTCCTTTCTTTACCTGTAGTTCTACCTTTGATTAGTTCAAGGAGAAAAATTACAATAATTTTCTATTATCTCACAAGCTAGAATAACTTAAACCGAATGATTTCGATCCAGCAATTGTTGCAAATGTTCTTTTCCCCTTTTAATTAATCGACGATGAAGCATACCGGTTTTCATTTTAGATGATTTATGATATAATACAGTTTTAATGACTACTACTAACACGTTAGTTTTTTTTTTTTTTTTTTTGCTAGGAAATACGTGAGAAATTGTTGAAAAAAAAAAAACACGATTTGCATAAATTGAATCAGACATTGCCTGGGGAAAAAAAGAGAAAGAAAGAGAACGCGAAAAAAGATAACAATCGCTGAGAATTGAGAAATGAAAAAAAAAAGTTGGAACGTGTATTGCAAAGTTAACAATTTGGCGGGAGAAGCGAAGTTTCGGTCTTCATCACCAAATACAAAATTAATTAATGGTTGCTATTGATCTGTTAATCTATTGGATGTTTTGAAAGTTTATACATATATTTATAAAAAACTAAAATACACATATATAATGTATAATGTAAGTATATATATAGTAATAATATAGTGTATTGAAGATGAAACGGATGTGTCATTTACAGAATTAGTAAAATTGAAATGAAAAAGATAAAAAAAAGTAGTTTGTAGAATGAAAGGAATAAATCCGACCAGCTTCTTAAATGTTATAACAGAGCTTAGAAGACTTTTCGAAATTCCTATAAATAGACTTTATTATCGAATCGAATGAAATAATCTGTTATGAACAATTAGCGTTACAAATAAGATGGGAAATTATTTTTGAGAATTAAATTGATAAATTTGGTAATTGTACGGAGAGAGAAGAAAAGAAACGAGAAAAATTCCTTTGTATTTTGATTTATATCCATTCGGTATTGAAGTGTGTTATTTCTGGAATTAAATAATGAATCAGAATTAAGAGGTGAAAAGAATGATGAAGGAGGAGTAAGTGAATGGAAAAGATTGGTAAAGTGTTGATGTATAATAGAAATTTAGGCTTTGTATTGAATAGTGAAACAGTTCGTTTAGAAAGGATGAAGCGGAAAAAAGGTAGGAAGAAGAAAAAGAAGGCTTGTATAAACAGAGTGATATGCGTCAAGGCCGTTCATCATTCATTTCAGTCATACAAGATGAACCAGCCGATAACCTATTTCTTTTCAAATTCTCCGATCTATCCATAAATAAACGTTTGTAAATATTTTGTAGCTTATATATCAATACAAAGGCATTAAAAATTTTTAGTGAAAAGCAATCAACAATATGTATCAAATCATTGTGGTTTTATAATGGAATGAATCGTTGATGACACTTTATTTTGAAATTTTATAATAAGTATATAATAAGGTAGGTAAATCAGGTATATTCATTTTCGATCAATAACAGCTATCTTGTTACATTGTTTTAATGAGCATTATGAGAAATGAAGTAATCTCAGATAAATGAAAAATTTCCTTTTCGTTTATCATTTGTTTTGAATTATGCTAAATTTATATGTTTAATATTATTTTCAGTCCTTTACTGCTGTTTAATGTTAATCTTAAAAATAAATTTTTCTTTTTTTCCTTATTTGCTCTATCTAATATATTTGCAGCAGTTTTTATAGTTATCCTAAATTAATCGATATCGAAAAAAGCTTAGAGTCGATTACATGATTAATTATATAAAAAATTGTACAAGTTTGTGATTTGCAATTAATTTCAATTATGTTGTTTGCATTAATACATTTTAACAGCTACATTCTTTGTTAAAGAATTGCTCGATTAATATTTTGATCGTTTTAGATCACATTGAAAATATTAATATCGTAAAATTAATAATTTTTGATATTAATTTCTTCTTCTTCATCAATGGCTATACTTTTGTTTAAGGAAAAATTTAATTTATAAGCAACATTAATTATTTTATGATTTACTCATCTTTACAAATAATTCAATGATTAATTTTTTTTCTTTCTAGAAGTTTCGATCTTCTGTGTTTGATTTAGGTGTAACTCTCAACTTACTGAATTATCAATGGAGCTGATTTCTTGAACAGCACAATTAATTATTTCATAAAACATAAAACGAATTGCAAAGCACTTAAGAAAAAATTTTGTATAAGAAAGAAAATATGAAATTTGAAGCAAATTTTTACGAAAGACAAAGAAAAGTAGAAAAACAGTTCTTTAATCCATTATTTTGTATAATGAACCACAATTGACAATTGAAATTTAATGGAGCGGAAAAGCTTGGCTCGTTAATTGCACCTTAAATACAATCCTTTCGCAATTTTGGCCCACTTAAAATAAATAAATTCGAGGAATAATTTAAATAATAGAAAATCCCCGTATGAATGAATATATTTAAAATCCTACATGCGTGACGATGGTGTTTTTATCAGTAAAATGTGGCAAACTGTGTAACAAATTTAATGGTCAATTTATTTAATCAATCTTTGTCCTGACAGGTACTTTTTTTAAGAGACAGAATTTCCAAAGTATCATCAATCCTGTTTATTCCATATTTGCATCTTTCTGGATTGATTACGAGGAAAACGGAAAGTTTCGCATTTAATTTAACCAAAAGCAAATAATTTGATTAAAAATGGAATTTCATCAACTTCCTTAACTATTTTTTTAGAACTTATTTTTTTTAAGTATTTTTTTTCTCTTAGGAACTTATTTTAATTTTTTACTATGAGGAAAAAAACAAATAAGGAAATTAATCCGGAGAATATTACAATATGTTATATTAAAAATATGATGTCACTTATGTTTTTTAAACTTTCGACCTATAAAAATTGGAAAAATAGTCCAAAAAGAAGTAAAGGATTTCAGAAATAAAATATGAAATTCATTATTAAAATAATAATAAATGCATTTAAATGAAAATTTGCTTTTATCAAAATGCAATTAACAAACATCGTTTTTTTTTTTTTTCATTTTCGAATGGAGGATTTATCTGATAAATCTTATTACACTAAACTGTTCAACTTCTTGCCCACGTTGTACTGTATGTTAGTCTAATTCGGATTATGAGATAATAGCTTAGAAATCAACTTTGTACTTTCCACTGATCGCTTCTGAATTCTTTCTCAATGTAACTTCTGATATAACTTATCGCTTAATCAAAATGAAACCAAATGGAATCTAACATTTCAATATTTGTTTTCATGAAGTTGTTTTATACATGAAAAAAAATATTTTTCGGTATAGAATTTTCTCGTCGCATTGATTATTCTGTACTTTCTTTTTCCTTCAACGTTTTTATTATGAAAGTTTACTGTTAAAAACTAAACATTTAAGAATAAGTTGAAGAAAAAAAAGGAATGTGAGAAGCAAAGTTGGATAAACTTATATGAATATCAAAGAATTATTTTAATTAGCGAATTTTCATTTTGTTATGAAAGGTACTGTTCGAATAATTAATTATTTGTTAAGTAGTAGTTTTTTTTTTGATTCAAATGTTTTCTTGGTCATTTTATCTTTTCATATTTTATACTTACTTTATTTAACTATACTAGCAATGATTTTAAAAAAATCGCATTTTTAGTTAAAACAATTTGCATTCTAAAAATTATTTTTATACATTAATCATATGGAATTATTACACTTCTTGTGCAATAATTTATTAATGAATACAAATCCAAAAATAATTTTCTCGTTTTCAAAAATTTTATTTTCTATTCTTAGTTTTTCAGTTGCCGCTTCTATGATTATTGTTAAAAGATTTATAATTTAATATAAATTATTTCAACTGATTTTTCCAAATAATTGGATATAAATTTTCATTATGTTTTTAAACACTAATGATTAGCATAATTTGAAGAATATAAGCGTCCGTTTCTTTTTCTTCACATTTATCAACTTTAAAGTACACACATACACACACGCACATACATACATAAGCATATATGTACATTTAAATACATAAACATACAAATACTGTGTTATGTTTCCATAACATTTATTTATTTAAACTTTTGATTCCGACCTTTGTGATGAAATATTTTGTTATCTAGGAAATTTTTGCAATCAAATGTTCATTTAAGATATAGAAAATGAAAGGAATTGATATTACATCACATCTAACAATAAACATATCTCGATGTTCATACCGGAATTTCAAACTTTACTTACTGTAAAAAAACAGAATAAAATATTTGCTACTTTTTAAAAGTTTTATAAGAGCTAACAGGTTTAATTTATCGAATTTTCCTCAGGAAACAAAAACAATATTGATTTGTTTAAGAAAAATGCGAAGGAAAAGCTTTATACAATTATTTTCAAAATTACGCACTACTAACTTAACTAATAAGAAAATTCGTTTTTGTTCTAGAACTCCTTTTTTTGCATTTCTTTTTCCGCATTCTCTCGGGATTGCAGTATATTGCCGATTCCATCTTCTTACTTACTTCAGACAATCTGTTTTATTAACTTTGCTTTTTTTTACACTAAAATTTGAATGGTAAAAAACACGCTTGGGAATAGTAAGTGTTATTCCTGGGAAAGCACAGAACGCGATCACTTCTTGTACTAACATTTCATGTCCGCCGTATTTTCTACTTCAGCGTTATCTTCCTTAACATAATTGTAATAAAATATTTTGACATATTATGTACACAGTTTCGTTATTCTAAGAAGTTTTAAATTTTCAAATGAACTCGAATTATTCATTCGTTAATTTTTAAATTTATAATTAGTGAATTCTAACAAATTTCTTTCTGAATAATATTTTCAAAAGATAAAAATTATGCTTAAGTTTCATGTTGCACGTTATTAAACATGTGAATTTCTCCTTCAAGATGATTTAATCCTTAACTATTAACTGATATGAAAAAATTGATAACTGACGAAAGCTAATAATATGCCATTTCGTTAAAGGATGAAATTTGATCGGTACCATCTGATTAAACAGTGAAATCAGATTGATATCAAAAGTTTTACAATCAAAAATATCGCCAATGATTTTTTATATCCTGAAAAATACATTCTTCCAAATATTTTAAAAGCTGAAAATTTTCACATTTAACAAATTCTCTTGGAGAAAATTCTATATAATTAGTTATACCAGACAATCAGTCTCTGAGAAAAAAAACAAGAACTAAAAATGACTAATCTTTAAAAAATTTTTTATTATACATTTTCCGAATATTTATTATCCATTCACTGATGCCAAATTGTAATCTCAACTATTGATAAATATCATTTCATACTGTTGAAATGTTATCATCTATCAAATATTATTGCAATTTAGTAATTCTTATACGATGAATATGGAATCGGATAATAATCGATCCCATAAAAATAGTTGTAGCAGCATGATGAATTCGAGAAAGCATTCCCTAACAGCTCAACTTACACGGACAGCTAGGCGTTTCTCGACCACAGTGGCACCACAACTAACAAAACTCGATCCATTACCATTGCTTCAATATTATAAGATGCTTAATATACGACTAGTAGATGTTGCTCAGGTGAATTACTTTTTTTTGCATTTACTAATACAGGATTTGTTATCATTATTTTGACTATAAAACAACGATTACAAATTAACTGTTGAAATGAATTTTGAAGTTTTATCTGAATTAACAATTCATGTCCTTTCTTGTCACATTTATTGCAGCTTCAAGCGGCTATCAAAGGATATATTATCAAAAATATAGTGAACTTCAGTCCGATTGATTTTGAAATAACGGATGAAAATAACGTTCGTGTGCTCAGTGTTAGTTTACGACCTGAGGAAATGATTCTTTCTAAAGGCATCAAGAGAATTTTTTCAATTACGTTCGATGATTCCGATCCTGAAGAATGTGGAACTGTGATAGCTAAAATTAGGCAACCTATATCAGGTCAACTGTAATACTGACCTCAAATTTATACTAAGCTGGAAGTTTTTAAAAATAAAATTTGAACTTCTATTCGTTTAATGAATTCAAAACCTCCAGTATCTGTTGTCAGATGACCAGATTTCCTAAGCATATTCTATCCGTAAAAGAAATATGGTGAAATTAAATTCTAATAAAAGAATGAGGAAAATTTGATTAAAACACACTAAAATGAATTTGAGGCATGAGAATATTCGGATTTTTGGAATTACCTTGCTCAAATATCGTCCAAATCTCATCATATGTTGACCAATGTGATCGATGCCAAATTAAACTCGTATCAAACTCAATTTCCAATTTTTTTACATCATATCGTTGTTGTTTTTCTACGAGCACTAAATGGCAATTCATAAAAGAAGGCAAAATTTATGCATTCATTCGGCCCAATTGTACATTTTTTGATGAAGATTCATTACGGTAAATTAAATTTCGTTTAAAAAAATGATATCTTGAACAAAAAAACCAGATGTTCTAGTGTTCTATTACTACTATTTGAAATTTGATGATTCTAGTCCTAAAAGGAAATGCAAATAGATAGCAATAGAATGATATTCGCCATCTTCCCGATATATAATTGTACTTATACTCCGAACAAAATCCTTGAATATTCCTGATGATCATAATAACCTCATAAAAACAATGCAATCGACTTTAGATTTTAACTATTTTTTAAGAACTAATGGAAAAAAAAAAACTTAGATTGGAATGGATGCCACAAGCAGATAATGAACTACGAATGATTGTTATCGCATATGGCATGATACAAATGGTCCGAGAAGTATTTCCCTCTCTAAATCATATCATAAGCGAACAATATCAACAAAAAATTGGTCTTTTTTTTTTCCTACTCTTTTTTATGATTCATAAGTCGAAAATGATTCTTTTTTTAACTGTTCATTGTTTCTCACAAAATGGGAATTTCTGTTTTTGTTGGAAAATCAGTATCTGAGGATATACAATTCTTTATTAACTACCAAGGAAGAGTCCAGAGATAACCTCAGATGTCAATAGTGTAAACTGTACACTGTACTGAATTTGGAATAATTCCAATATCTTTAAGGATTCTAACGACAGTGGTATCAGTAAGCAGAAAAACAAGAAAAATAGAGGATTTGATATACTAATAATCGACATTTATTGCTAATGTTGCCAAAACGATCAATTACATGGTATATGGTTTGAAATTCCTTCGTAGAATATAATTCTAATACTAACCACTACTAACCTTTGTTTACAACTGATAGTATATATCGCTTAATTATACGGCATCATGCACCACAAAACTATTTGAAACCCAATATTATATAGCTTTTCGAGAAATTAAAGAAGTTATGCGTTTCTTTATGTTTCGTCTCTGCTATTATTGTCTTTTTCTAAGGAATATTTGTAGCTAAATTTCTAAAGTCTTCGCAAAGTAACCGAACCCGCTTTTGAGTTAGAGTCATCGAGAATATTGATTGTAAAGGAAGCATATAATATGCTAACAAATGAGATAAAATGTTAACAGAAAACGAAGGCGCAGTCTATCAAGACAGAATTTTCAGCAGGGTAAAGTGAATTATACCACGACATATCATAGACCATAATTTCATCAGTTTAATTACGTGTCCGAAAAATTAGTTGCTCTTATCCGATCGGTCAAAACTATTTATGAAATAGTTTCGACATGAAAGATAAACATTCTTCCCCTTCGGTAAAAATAGCTGTTCCACAGCGCCAAACCATGATGATTTATCATATACTATTAGGAATAGTCGCTGTTGGGAAATAAAATGGTAGCACATAAATAATAGTTGAAGTAATTCCAGAAAATAAAAAAGAAATTGGCAGTTGGCCTATTTTACTTAAGTTATAGATGTAATTGCTCCGAAAGCAGATTAAAGGACTCACTGGATTAGTCACTATTAGAAACTGTCAAACAAGAGAAGTAACATCACCAGAAATTGCTCAAAGAAAAATTTAAAAATCATTCAAAATAAATTCGGACGTCAACATGAAAATCAAAGGAGAATTATAAAAACAAAATCGCAGAAAATGCAAAAAAGTCATCCAAAACAAAAGTGAAATGGAAACTTATGAGACGCAACAAGATTAAGACAATATTACCAGATAAAAGCAAGGGTTTGTTGAACAGAACAAGTGGATACAGAATACAAGACAAGGATATAATTAATAGATAATTTAAGATACATATAAACACATGAGTTCACACCTTGAAAACAAATTCATAATAAGTATGACGATTATTTTAAGCTTTGTCAAGAGATGAACAAAAAATAACATATGTAATTTCTTCAAATTATAACAATGGTGACGTAGTTAACTTTGCCCGTTTCTTGTCCCTAACTTTATTATCAGATTCCTTTTTACTGCTGTCAAATTTAGCAGGACGCTTCACAATTATTCGAGGATTATCGCTAGAGCTCACAGCATCACCAACTTCTTTCCTTCTGCTGTCTAGTGTTGATATGCCTCTGAATGTTTTCTTTTGTAATTGCTCTAGCCAAATACAAAAACACCAATCGTATACCAAATCAAAATACTCTAATAGTTGCACCAATTAATATTTGTTAATTAATAATAACATCTTTCTGAATATTATAATTTTAGATAGTCGTAATTAATAGTTCAAAAATATAAACTTACGTCTTAGCTTGATCTCCTTCCTTTCCTGTTTGGGATGAGGAAATTCTTTTAAAATATTTCAGAAGTGAATTTGGTGGTGAGCTCTCTCTTTGTCTTTTATCAAATTGATTTAAAGAATTCCCTGAAATTTTCTGATAGCAGTACTTTGTAAAATTCATCACAATATAATAGCAACAATATTTGAAGCTACTGAATAATTGGTTCCAGTTATCTGACTGGAAAACTGAACACTCACAGAATCACTTACTGTACTTAGGTCCTTTTCTATCTCGTTCAAATATCGGGGATGGTGGAAGTTCAGGTATTTTTTCAGTATATTTTTCACCTAGCGCCACTTCGTCAAACCTGAACAAAATTATTCGAACAACCATGCATGAAACGAAAGCATAGAAATGATAAACAATGAATGAAAAATTCTAATATTTTCCTAAGTTGAAGAGTCTTATAAACGTCTAAAACTGAAATTCAACTTAATGCTTAAACTAAACCGAAAACAATAGATTAGTACAACAGTTAATCTGAGGGAAGATAGAGATAAGTTTACGATAGTACATAAGTGAAATACAGTTTGATAAAAACTTACATACCTGATGAAACTAATATAACCTTCCAAAGAACAAATCATCAAAACTCGTCCATCAGGACTCCATGACATATCTGTGAGAGTATCGTACTGAAGATTAGTAGCACAAGCCACACATCTGCAGAGTTGGCTATCGAAAATATACACAGTATTCTTCGTTAGTGCAGCCCAAACAATGCGATATGGAAGTCTAAATAGACTTCTTAGCATTATTTAGAACAATGTTTCGAAGAAATTTTTAACAAATTTCTCAGATCAATTACAGACTGGAAGAAACACATAAAAGAATTTTTTTCTTCTTAATAAACTCACTACAACATAATTTCATCAAATAAAAACTTACTTTAATGGGTTACCGACAACTTTCTTATGAAGTTTGTACAAGATAGGACAACAAGATATACGAAAAGTAGCTTTTGAAGAAGGAATAAATGCAGCCGGACGACCTCTAAAAATGTAGATACAAAGTCCCAACTGAAAATGGTACTCAAAAAAAAAGTTCGATCAATTTTTAATGGTCCGATTTCCCACTGTTAACCCTTCTGAGGCTGCCTACTTTTTTTACAGATAATGAAATCTTTCGGTATCACGAAATACGATTGTGCTGAAATGTGAAGTGTCATATATATTAAATTTTCCAAAAGTGATATTTTAGGTCGTCACTGATACTACTGGAAACTTCATGATTGTTTAACAATTATTCAAAGAAAAATTTTACTTGTAAAACTTACTTCGAAAACTCATGACGACGAAAAATATAGGTCCCTAAAACATTTGAAGAACCCGTCTCCAAAATACCACCTGAATGAGATGAGAAGACATAATAACGTAGTAGAAATTTTATGATTTACTCAGAATTCCACAGATGCATATAAGACGCACGAAAGAGATAGAAAAGTTAAATTGAAATCAGAAATTCTACTTTCTTGTTTATTCTTCCTTCACACATAGGAATAAAAAACCTTGATTCAACATATAATATTAAAAAAAATTTTTTTAACATACTTGGTGCAATTAGCAATTCACCGTCAGGTGAGAAATCCGGAATCCTAGAGAAGGACATTAATTGATCATCGTGAAATAACTTGTAACTCTAAAATGAGGATTCTTTTTTGGCAATGAAATTTCAGTATCATTCAATTAATATTCCTTAATGGATCAAGCGTAAGTTGCATGTCTTATTTTTCGAAACAAATCAAATTGAAACTTACACCAACTGTTAAATTTGATTTTCGTAAAACTGTCTCCGGCAAGCGAACATTTTGGATGCATATTAAACGAGTTCCTTTCTTCCCACACAAAATGTCCAATTTCCTATCAGTGGACATTGTAACGATATACTTCCCACGTGGATCCCACGCAACACCATTTGGGAAACGTCGATATGACCTCATGTGCCACAAGCGTCTACCTGTTTACTGTTTTACAAGTTTATTGCTACGACTTTCTTTCTGCAAATTTTTATGCCCCTGTTCATTCCTTAAGAATTAGTCGATATAAAAATCAACTTTTTGAAGTAAAATAATATTTGACTGAATATCACCTGTATTTGCTTCATATATTGCGAAAGATTCATCATTGGAAACAATGGCAAAACGCTTGCTATCCGGACTCCAGCACAAAGAACAAATATCACTATTGTGGCTGAATCGAATTCATTATAAGAAGCATGAACAGTTTAAAAGTCTTACAATATCATCTCATAACGAATCACAAAGCAAGATGAGGTTGGGTTTTAATTAAGGACTCGCTTTTTTACGAAAGTGATTGCAAAGAAAAGACATAGTGCTTCATCACTCGGAAAAATAGATGAAACACAAACTTCGAGCTATCAAATGTGTTCAATATTTTATGCAAATTTTCTTACCTTAATGGAGTTTTGTATCTGACCCAGTTTTCAACATTTGAAGGGAAGTCGTCATCTCGTGGCGATATCAGGTTTGGACTGTTCGTATCAATTTTCCAAATGATTATACAACCGTCGCAATCTCCACTCGCAAGGAATTGTCCTTCAGTTTTATAAAAATTATTTGACAAGAAAATTGATAAGAAAAAGATTGATTGATAAGAATTTTCAATATCGCTATACTCTTGATTTAAAAAAATACCATCTGGTGAAAAGCGTGCAACATTAACAGTTGTACGATGACCAACTAAATTTGCAATGAAATATACTCCAAGATCTTCAATTCCAAACGGCAACATCCGAAAATCCATCTTCCAAATTCGTACTTCTTTTCGTAAGCTACATGTTACCAACTATAATTGCAATAAACATAGATGATCTTTTATTGTGTTAAAATCATCTGGAATAGTGTTAACTGGCATTATCAACGCTTAACGTATGATAAATTACTAAAAAGACGAAAAAACGTTATCGGCTCACCTTATAAGATCCGAACTATCAAAAACTTATCAAATATATAAAAGAATATTTTAATTATTAAGATAAGATAAACTTCCCTTAATAAAGGCAATATATAGGTATGTTTTAATACGTTATATTATCGGTAAAAAACATTGAACTGCAACATAAAAAAGATTAAGGTAAATTAAATAAATTTTACCTTATAAAAATCGACTCCATCGTTCTCCTGTGTTTGAAAATCCACAGAAAGTAAGGAGTCCCTATCATGCCAAATAATCTCTGGCATATAGTGCAACATTGCTGTTACCTTACTTCTCGCTATATTTTCGGCCATTTTTATGAAAATTATTTCAACATATTAATTATCGTTTGCAACAGTTCTACTCTTAAAAGACTACTAAATCAGCAATCTAACTGTACTTACTTATGGGTTCCACCCTATTTTACAAGTACACTCTTAGTTATTGTAGAGGCAATCTTAACCAATATACAGTAGCAGTGTAATGAAGTGTAAAATAGGGCATTCATATTTCGAATAGCTGTTTTGCTAAGTTGAGCCTATTAGTGATATAAGTGCACAGAAATATATCATAACCGTCAAAACTTCTAGAAAAGCCAAGCTAATCACCCACAAACCACAACACCTTACACCGCACAAACTCAACACAATAATTTCCCGCTATCTCCTCATTTGAATTACAAAGCCTTATAATTCGTTTCAGCAAAGTTCGGCGACCTACAAATAATGGCTCCCTGAATTTCCGAAATGCTGATCGATCAAGGTGGGTTGGGTTTAGATTGGGACTTGTTCAGCGCAGTTCGCGCGTTTGCGGAGTAGCATGGGATGATGGATGAAGAGGAATTGAAGTTGGATTTCGAGTTGAGTGTCAAGTTTGAATTGTATTTCTTGATTTCACACGAAAACAAAGTTTATCCGCCTAAATTAGAATTAGTTTCTATCCACTGGAACTTGTGAAAATGTTGAAAAAGCAGCACCCTCTTCGCACTTTCACATGTGGTTTGGTTTATGGAAGCAGATAAGCCCTAAAGTGTGATTTAAATTTGAAAACTGTTATATACATGTTTATATGTTTAACTGAGTAGTAATATGCAATAATGTTGGTGATGTTATTAAAATCTCGGACTCCAGCAGCTAGAGAGTTAATGGGATGCTTCATACCACAAGGAAATTTGCCGTTATTACTTTAAGAAATAAAAAAAAAAGAAAAATAGAATTATTACATTAGCAAGTAAATAAATTAATACAGCAAATTAACAGGAACTAGAAAGCGGCGAAAAAAATTTCGTAGGATCAAAATCAGCACGAAAGCAGCAGTAAACAGACAATGTGTTCCATTATTAAACAGTTTCATTGGCTAACCAAGTTTTCATGAAAATATTCCTCGAAAATAGTTCTGAGAATATTTCTTTGCTACATACTCTAAACGCTTTATGAACGACGTGGTAGGACCACTACAATAAATCTGACAAAAGGTTACTGCGTACATAGAATACGATCGGTGAAAATTTCAAGCACATCTGCCATAAATAGGTAACAGATTTTTGTTTCATGCAAACCAGCTGTGATATTTTGGTATTTTACACGCCAATGTAAAGTACTGTAACATGCGCACTCCTGCCATTTCCAAAGTTTAATGATTAAAGCAAAAGGAATGACTGAGTACCATACAAAGTAATTTTCAAACCTTAATCAACCAATCCATTTAATTAAATGATACTTTCGTTTACCCCAACAAACAAGTGTGATATTTTTGCCATTCAAACAAATCTTGTCGAAATCGATCACTTCATCAGGATTTGTAAACTGTATTCCGTTCAACTTCAAAGCTCCTGTTTTCATTTTATTTATGCTAGATCCGTCACCACTATGTACTTTGTCCGCTAATTCCCCTATTGTTGAAAACCTGGATCGAAAAAGCTGCTGTACAGATGCAGTACCGAACTGTTCTTCTATAAACGAAGTTGGCATCTTCCGCAATTCAGAAAGAGAATCTGAAACTGTTCCTTCATACACTATTAGTCTCACCACAAACTGATGCTTACACGACCAATAAGAAAAATTACCGCTAAAAAGCATTTTCGAGCATTGTTTTGCAATTTTCAACCCATTACTTCCATGTACAAGCTTTGTCAACTCTTCCGCTAATTTCTCTTGAGCGATCCACTTTCCTAAATTTGCTTGGTGCTCCCGTTCAATTTCTTCGATTTCTTCGATAGTTTGCAAAGAAAAGTGCCTATAAAACAGCAAAACTTAATAGAGTTCGTTGGAAGACAGTTGCATTCATTCATTTCAGAAAACAAGTCAATGCTTTAACTTCAATCATATATGAATTTCGTTTCTCTATAAGTATTTTTCTATAGAACGTCCAGTGTTCAAAAAATTCAAGAACAAAAAGTTCTAGTTCTCTGAAGTTTAAACATACATTAAAATATATACTGTTGCTAGCAATGAAAGGATGAATGTAAAACACATAAACTTGCTTTAGCAAGGGAATGATAACTGAGTCTGGTTTCTGACGAAAATACTGGTAAAAAGTGAAAGGCGATGTTTTTCGTTCGTCTAGCCATATGTTACTATGTTCTTTTGAAGTTTTGCTGAGTTTTTTCCCTTGAGCATCAGTAAGTAAAGGCAAACAAATGCTGGCAGATATCTTCCCAGTTTTCCTTTTTATATAATCGTAACCAGCGTCAAAATGGCCGAGTTGGTCATTTCCACCTATCTATAATAATTATAAACACTCATATATATGCATTGTATACTTTTCCATATAAAACACAACAAAACTGACTCTGTTTTCCTATATGCATTTGCACTTATATTCAAATTGACTGCCAAGTTTGTAAATAACATAAAATTGTTGTTCAGTGATAAATTCTTGCAGATATTCTCCCTTACTTGAAAGTGACAGTTATAGTCACGCGAAAGGCGATACCAATCATATGACTGAAGTATCTGATATAAAAATTCAGTGCAAGAAAGGCCTGACCCGTCGCGCATCCGGGATTTGACCATTCCCAATCTAAGCATATCACCTAATCGAAAATCACGACAGACTTCTAGAAATCGAATGGAGCTCATCTACAAGAAATGACGTGGATGTTTGCAACATAAGTTATTGTTATTTCAGATTCACTACTGTAAGTGAATTGCAAGAAACCCAATCTTGCATCTAGCTGAATAAGAACCAACATTAGAGATTTTGCAGTTTTTCAATTCGAGCAGTGAAATATATACATTCTCTGAAATTCCACATTTCACATCCCAAAGTAAAGAATTCACTGTCAATATAAAAATGTGGATTATGTTATGCTATTTTAGAAATCTTTCTTGCCTTGCAGTGCCAATCAGAATTATTGACGATCGATAGATGATGCTTCCTCGCTGGGACATTATTTTCTGTGAAATTATTAAATAACCTTACTAATTGCAAATTGATTTTCCTAACGTATTGGTCGATTTCATGACCCGGAACAATATTTCGATCTGAAATTTTTTAATACGACGTGGATCTCTTTTGAAAAGTTGAAGAGTGAAAAAGTAGAGGAAAACAATCGGCAATTAATGGCTTTCGGCAGTCACACCTGAAATCTACGGCTATAACAAGCACGGCACCTGTAATATGACCACTCGGATCTCCAACATGTGCAGTGGCTCCACCGATCAGGGCAATTGCATGACACCTGTGCAAAGCTGCTCGAAATAAGTTCGTTAATATTAGTAAATGACCAATATGAAGGCTCTCCGCTGTAGGATCAAATCCTGAAATAATGAAACAATTTTCTACCATAAAAAAAAGGAACCATATATAGAAATAACCAAGCTCAACTATCTTGAATAAAAAGCAGTCCATTGTAAAAGTTACCCACATAATTACCTGCATAAATAACATCGGGGAGAGTTGATACTATTTTAAAATCATCACTCGACAAATTTGGTGGATGTGAGGTAGAAATAAGATTTCTTTTCGCAAGGTCAGCGCAAAATTGCTTAATATTTTTTACTGGTGCTGAAGTAGTAAAAGCACGCTTTAATTCAAATCTGAAAACACTCCCCTTTACTCAGTATACATATGATTAGGCAAAAACAAATAAGCAGAATTTCTTTTAAAGAACAATTTTGAAGATTACCTGACCTTCCTATAAGGAATAAATGACAAAACGAGGTCGTCATTTCGGAATTTAACTTCAGCGATCGCAACATTATCAATTTAATTCCTGAACAAAACCGGTTTGAGATTTCGAAAACACTTGATTTCTTGCGTAACCACAAACAGTAGAACTCCGGAGATTTGACTGCAGTGCATTAAAATCCCATGTGAAGATAATTTATGAAGTTTTTTCAAATCCAGCAATTTACAATAATTTATTGAAAAATCACCAATGATGAATTTATCTTATGGTTAAATCAAATGACTTACACAGCAAGGATATGAACAGCAGTATGCACATGAAAAATTTTGACAACACTTCTAAAGAAAAAAGCACAATAGTGATTTCAAATCATCTAAAGTTATAAAACGCCTCTACTTTTAATACATAGCCTTAATATCCCTTTTTCACCTATATAAATCCAGTGAAAGAAATCGAACCATGCTAAAAATAAATTATAGATCAAATATCAATATTTACGAAGATAAAGTATATAAAAATGAAATTAAGATGACAGATGTATACCTATTTAACAAACATGCATAAGTAAATTTAACATTCACTTCTTAACTGTTCATTAATGAATTCACTGAATGAATTTTCATCATAAACTTTGCTGATATTTTCCAACAAATGACTGTCCATCGATATAAAGCTATGAAGGTTATTTCCGATGCCTGAAACCAATAAAGAACATTGAATAAAGAACAAAATTCATTGTCATGAACCAACTAGGTTTCAGTTAAACGACGGCTATAAAGGATACCTGGATCATATATGGGAGGCCAAGGAGGTGGTAGTGCTTTATGATTTCCATTAGTTTCCAACATATGACTTCGGTCAGAAGAAAAATGCTGCAGGTAATGTGAGCCACTAATAACTCGAAAACACCTGAAACACAAAAAAGTTGGGAGAAAAAAGTAAACTTCGCATAGAATAGCAGATAAAATTTCCGTTCCTTTTCCTTATTTTCAAAGTTAAGTTTCTACAACTATCATACAATACTCCAAGTATCAAATATTAGAACCAGTACTTCCCTTTTATCTGGTGCACCTTACGTATGAAAGAAATGAAACATACCTGTGATAATTCGCATCCAAATTCAGTTCCGGACGAATTGTCTCAGTCCAGTATGTTTGAGCATCACAAGGAAATGTTAACGTTGTATCAAAGTCATACACAAATACTAAACCCGACTTTGAGTATAACAAGATTACATGATAATCCTGTAACAAATATTCTAGTAACTAAAAAAAATCTCAAAGAGGACTGCTTAATATGGCTAAGATACAAAAAAAAAAAAATCTCTAAAGATAAAGATTTCAAAATATGTTCCAAAACTAGTCCTAACCCATATCACGTAGTCTCGTCCTGCAGCAGCAGCACGTTGTTTCCACAACGGAACCTAAAAATAATGCATATTATTCAAAAAATCATGGGACAGTTTTGTGAAACACTTCAGTAGATAATCAAAGCTGATAATTTTTAAAATAAAGCGTCCTCAATTGCAATAAACAAGTGCAAAAATCTATACAAGTAATTGAGCCGTTCATTACCATCCTGTTTTTGTTGGAAATGAATACAGCACTGCAGCAGTTTAGTTCGTCCAATGCAGATACTTTCTTACATAACTTCCAGATATTTTCTTCACTGTAAATACGAAAGGCTCACATGATCTAACAGGATATAACTTAAGCTGTATTGAATTCTAACATTTACAACTTACGAGAAAATGAAGCATTTATTTAAATTACAAATGCATAAGTAGAAACAATCCCCAAAGATCCGAAAGTGAGGCGATATATTTCGATTTAGGTCTGTTCAATCTACTCCTCGAAAAATGTTCGTACCAATACATTGGTGTATAGTCGCAGTCATATTTGGAAAGAATAATACAGTCCTTCGTTTCACAATTGGACATAATTGATGAACCTGAAAAAAAAATAAGAAAACTACAGTTTTCATTTATCGAAGGAAAACACTAAAAAGAAAAAATGGAACTACTAAAATTCAAAAAACTTATAAAAAGATTTTAACACAGAATGCTGCAAATAAAAAAATCACAGACTAACCAAGATTTCTAAAAAACTAACAAATCAAAAAAAAAAAAAAAAAAAAAAATACAAATTGAAAAAGTGTGAATTTTGAAAGGACCTCCATTTTATAAAAAAAAAAAAGGAAAAAATATCTCGAATTGTATAGGAAAAGAAAAACAAATCTATACTGCGGCTGGCTGTGGCTACTCTTACTTCATACCCCAATTTTAAAAAGCTATATGATCAATTAGTCGTCTGACCTATTGGTCATATTAGCCTTCTCAGTTCTACTAAAAATCTAAACACTATTCTATTAATCTGCAAACTTTAGAAACCCTACGAAAACCCTATTTTCGGAAGTGTATGGGCCCAAATTAATATTGCTTCAGGTTGGTGGTTAAAAGGCTAAAAATCAAATCCGACACCAACAGACTTTCCAGTATTGTTTCTTCGTTCATCTCAGTTGGCAGTGTTACGTGTTATTTTTATTTCGGATAAGGATTAGTTCTTTTGGAAGGAGTTCACGGGATAAATCTGGGAGGTTTATGATATATTCTTCACTTTTCTTCGAACTTCTTCATTCTTCGTTTTTCAGTTCCTTCATCGATTTAAATTTAACGGTAAAGAAGACGGCAAGTTTGTGTTTATTGAAGGTTTAGAATTGAGGAAAGGATAGACGAAGGAAAGTTACAAATCTGTTTTCTAACTTCAAAGGAATCTATTAAAACTTGCAGTGTCCATTTTCAGACTTTAATTCCACCATAAATTCCTAACCATCCGACCATAATATTCATAACTGAAAATGGATACTGTTAACTCGTCAGAGAGCCCACAAAAAATTGAATCGAAGGATTATGCGGAGAATTGCAGTTCTGTAAGCTTATTTTATCTTTTGGTTTTTGGTTTAGATGGAATATAGTCAGACTATTTTTCAAAGTCAAACCGCTCATCTCATCGAGTGACAGCGATCAGTGGGGGAGTGTCACATTAACGAAACATTATGTTATGAATTATGCAAGTTGAAAGAGTGACCTTAAATATGGTTACACATCCTAATGCTTAAAGTTGATTGTTCAACTTACTGGCAAATTTAGCAGGATTTTGAGTGTAAGCTCTCCTATAGAAGTATGTTATGCAGTCATACCTAAGTTCGATTAGGCTACCATCGAGAATGATTTGTGATCCGTATGATCTTGGAGAAATCCGTTACGTTTTATATCACAGCTATCTATAATCATCTATCGTAACTTTTCCTTCCGGTTTTTTTGGTGTTTACGGTGTTTCTTTGCAGGAGATAGAACCATCAAATGAGGAATGTGAGGAAGCGTTGAAAAAGTTTGTTCAAATCACTAAAACGGATGAAGCATGTGCGCACTTTTTTTTGCAAGATTTTAACTGGCAGTTGCAGGCAAGTATCTATGGTCATTTCATTTTATAGAAAGGAATAGATAATATTAATGTCCATCACAAATTTCTCTTACCTACTAATAGTCCTGTCCACTGAATCTTAAAATTTTATAATTTCTTCACGTGCTACATTTATTTCTTTTACTTATTATTTAGCCTGCACTAGATCGTTTCTTCTCATATACACTGGAAACCAAAGGGGAAACTAATTCAACTGAAGCATCATCTGAGTTTCCTACAAGTGAACCAAATGACGATTTCTCGCTTACTGTTATGTCGTGGAACATTGATGGTCTTGATGAAAATAATCTTACTATTCGTTTTACTGCAGTATGCTACATAATTTCTAAGTTTGTGACACATCTTTTTACAATCTTATTTCTGTTCTTGGCATGGGATTAATTACACTATAGTGATATGGATCAATAATATGCAGTAGTGCTAAAGGAGATTGAAATGCTGTTCGAAAAGATTTACTCCAAAAAACTGTAACATATTTAGAAGACATGCACAGCCATGATCGGTCTTTACCAGTGTTCAGTCTTGTCGCTCCCGCAAGAGATGCACTAAGTAATTGAGTGATTCTAATGTTTTCATCTCGCTATATGGCTCAAGAAACATCAACCTGGTTTATTAAATAATTTATAAGTAGATTTAGATTTATTAAACAAGTTATAAGTACAACAAGTTACTAGTAGGTACATGTTGCTATGCTCGTTCAATGTTCACCAAATTTAGGATTTCTGCAGATGTAGTTTTTCTACAAGAAATGACACCAGATTTGGTTCCGCAGGTCAGGAAGAATCTGAGTGGTGAGTACAGTATCTTGGTTGCAACTCCAAATTTGCCATATTTTACGGTTGTTCTTCTGAAGCCATTCATCGAGTTAATCTCACATAAAGCGATCCCATACAGACGTTCAGGAATGGGACGATCAATGCAGCTTGTGGAGGTCGATGAACTTTTGAATTTATATTACCTCTTTGGAAGAAAAATGTTTATAACTTCTTAATTAAGTTAACTTACTGACCTTTACTTTTTTGTCTCATATTTTCTTTATCTCTCGTATCCTGAGGCCGTTAATGCATGATCATCTCTTTTTGTCTTGTAGCGTATAAATATGGTCAAAATGAGTATTAGTGTTCAATATTTTAAATAATACTACTTCTCATCAATCGACAGTTCCATTAATGTTTGATAGTTTGCATTTTTAATGTTGTGTTCTACTATTTTTTTTTTCTCAGACTTCATTACGGGGACGCAAAGTGATGCTGCTAAATACACATCTAGAAAGTATGAAGGAACATTCTGATATAAGACTCACACAAATCCAAGAATGTTTCAAACAGCTGGTTGAATGGGATGATGGCAAAACTGTTATCGTTTTTGGAGGTGATCTAAATGCTCGTGATAGTGAGGTAAATAATCTCACGTCTTGTTTTCCTAATACACTTAGCTTTTTTCTCATTCTAAGAGAACTTGTATCAGATATTCTGGTAATTCTGGTATCTTTGGCTTCTTATCATTCTTGTCGCTGTGATTTCAAGTATCGATGCTAAAACAATTTTTCTATTTTATGCTCGTTTTTTTTTTTTGGTAGGAAGAGTTTAAAGTGTCTTGAATATCTCACATATATAAAATAATTTTCTTTGTCATTTTTGTTAATATCTTTTAAATAAGTGATCATTCTAAAATATAGATTTGCGAACTTCCTCCTGGATTCGAAGATGCGTGGATTGCCGCAGGATCGAGACCAAAATTCAGGTTTACTTGGGATACTTTGCTGAATAACAATAAAGTTACTGGAAAAGCTCGATGCCGTTTCGATCGCATTATCTACAAAAGGTGTGTTGAGACTTTTAGATGACCTCAAAGACTATTGTTTTATCTTTGTCGTTAACGACATCGATGACAAGCAATATAGTATGCCCTATTTTGTATATAATTTCATTGGGGGATTCATAGAAAGTCTTTCTCACTATTGGTCGTTAGGTTACTATAAACTTTTATGAGCAATGTAAATCATTAATTCTGTATAGTATTTTGTTACCAAAGGGTTAACGATTAGAAGTGCTAATATATTAATGCACAACTAATTAGACCTGAAAATTCTGACAAACACTTTTTATTCCAAATGATTACTTATTGAATTGTACATTTTTTGCTGTTCTAGTGCTGGCATCTTCTCAGGAGTGGATTTTTCGCTTGAAGGGCAGAATAGAATCCGTACTTCACTTTGCTTTCCAAGTGATCACTGGGCTATTCTTGTTCATTTTCACTGATCTCTTGTTCCCAGATTATGTTCTCGGATTATGCAATTCAAAAAGCTGAACCATAGGCACTTGATTTGGTAAGATAACTTTTATATTCACTGCAGTGCTTCTGGATTTTTTGCAGAATGTTTGCATTATTGTCAGTTACTTTTACTAAAAACTGATTTATGCTTTACTTAATGTAATTCGATAAATGTAAATGTGTATTAAACAGTGTCCTATTTCCTATAATATATATTCCTACTGCTGTACTTTGTTAACCCTCAAATGAGATTAACGTAAATATATTTTTTTAAAAAATATTGGAACTTGAAAGTGTAATTAGTAATATTGCGCTGGTACTTGTGTTGTGCATTTAAGTAAGTTTTATCGGAATTTCTTTTTCGATAAATTATAAGATCATTGTCATGTATTCTTCAGATATATTTTTTATAACTAATTTAGTATCTTATGCTTCTGTTTCCTGTTTCAATTTCAGTTGTTCTTCAGGGGGCCGTTATTTCCGTCTAACTGATACAAGAGTATCATATTTGTGCTTCATGCTGTCTGGATTCATATTTTTGTCACTTTTAGTAGTCAGTATTTAAAACATTTTCACTAACGGTCTGGAAAGATTTGGACAAGGAAATATATTGATGGAGGTTATTCGTTCTAGTCTGCAACGAGATTCCCTTTTTTGTATAGCTGATTTACTGTTCCTTAATGTTTATCATTCATATGAGTGTTTGAATAACTTTTAATCACCTTTACGTTTTTGAGTTGATATTAGTTATTTCGTTGTCTCTTTTGAACTTATTAGAAATCTCGAAACTCTGCTACATCTGTATTTTCTCAAGTATAATCTTGTCCGATGCAAAATCATTGTCTTGCGGACTATTAATAGTGCTTTTATTGGGCTTAGTTCATTTACTAGCCTGATTATGTAAATTTATTGTCATTTCAACTAGTTTTAAAACGGTGTTATTTGTGTTTGTTTTCATTTCTCCTCACATTTAAATAAAAACGCTCCCTAAATATTGTTAGTAAACATTCCGAGAGATAGTTTGCTGGATCCATCAGGAAGAATGTAGAAAATTATAGCTTGTGTTGAGTCTTCACGTTTTATTAATTTTAAATTAAGAGTGCAACTGGTATTGCTTTACACGGGTGTCATTTGTGTTTATTTTCATTTTTCTCTCATAGTTTGAAAAAAAAAAGACTTTCTAAATACTGTTAGTAAACATTCCGAAAGATAATTCACTAAGATCTATCAGGAAGAATGTCCGAAATTATGGTTTATGTTGAGTCTTCACTTTTTATTTACTTTAAATTAAGTACACAATTATTTGATTGGAAAAATGTCAGAAATTCACGAGGGATTTCGTTAGCTATATCTGGAGATTTATGCGCAAGAAGTTCCTTCTTCTGATAATGTACTGCGGTATCACCTTGAGCGAAATCCATGAAGATTTTGAACATCCAAAACTTTGTATGTTGAATTTTTGTATCCGTCAGTCTTCATTAGGTAATACAATTATTTCTTTCGACTGCGAAAATGATTTTATCAGTTGTGAAATTTGCAGCTGATGTTGATTGACTTTTAGCACGCGGGATTTTGGTTGTTTGACTTAGCTGAGCGAATAATGAGTGTGATCATTTTGTCTGTAATACGAATTGATAATGCATTGATTAAGAACAGAATTCGTCATATTGGTTGCTAAACGTTTTTAGGAATAATGATTTTGTTTTAAAGAAAGATGTGGAAAATTATCTAAATGAGTTGTAGAGAATTGGGACTTTATTATTGCTCGTTTTTTTCCCTGCGTTAGCAGCATCTGACACTATTGTTTTGATTTTTCTGACATTTTTGTCCATTGTTACTATTCTAAAATACAGGCAGTGAACGGATTCAGTTGCTGATTTCACTAGAAATTAAAAAAAAAATTTGAAACAAAGTGGTTGTAGAAGAAAAAAATTTGTAGTGAAAAATTTTGATAAATAAACATGAAACTGCTAAGCAAAATATCGTTATATTAACGAAAGAATAACTCTGAGAATTATGAATAGGTTCAATTTGAAATTTCTTGACTTCATGATGATATGATGTAGTCATCAATTCTTTATAACATTGTAAACAAACAGTAATTTTACAGATCTTGTAGTTTTATTAAACTGAATTCCAAAGAATTCGTATCGTAATTCAGGTGATTAAAGAAGAGGATATAGTTGAAGAAAGCAGTATTGTTAATTCTTTCATCCAATTGATGCTGCTAAGCACTGCATAGTTGTTACTTGAAGAATAGCTTTTATACATGTTGAATTAAACTATTTATTTACTTTACAGCTATTTTAAAATATATATTTATAAGAATTTCTCAGGTGATATGAGAAAAAGAGTTGAAGAAAAAAGTGGAGTAGAGTGTTTGGAGAAGATAGTTGAAATTGTACTACAGGCTGGTTTTATCTGTCTGTAGTTTCGTTTCTGTTTGTCCACACTGTCAACGTAACAGCGATATTGCATACATCACATCTATAGCAAAGTGAATAGAGAGAAGTGTTTAAGAGACAGCTTGGCTTAGCATTCATTTTGCTTGCTTTTAACATTTGGCTGGATTCATACATTAAAATTGTACGAAGTATTATCATCTATTTGTCATTAAATCGATGATTTCCTTTTCCTAAATATCAGTTCGTTATTTATTATCTCATCTGCATACAAATAAAATTCATTCTCATTTTATTATTACTATTATTACCACTAATATTATTAACAACATGTATCCTCTCTACCTGTATTATTATTCCTACCAATTACCACTCCTTATAATTTTTCATTTTTTAAATATTTTTCCATTTTCGCTTACTCAATGTCCACCATTGCAATCACCTTGCCGTTGTGCACCATCTATTCACGAGCCTATCGCTATTATTTGTGAAAATGCATCTACTTTATCCGATGTATTAACTGCCATAACGGAAGCACGAAGTGTTACAGTATGTCATTGTTTATTGATGTTATTTCAATTATATATATAACTGAACGCTTTACAGTTCATTTCTTAAATGAAATCAAAGATCATTATCACTATAAACCAATTCGTTATTCCTTTGTTATACTCCATTTTTTTGAAACAATGAATTCTTTACCTAAATCTCAAATAGTAAATGTACACCTGTCTTCATTGTAAATCCCAGCCCACTTTCTACATCCTTAAAAGTCTTCCCTAATCAGTTAATAAAAAAAGACATGATCGATGGCAGTCTTCTCTTCCTCCTCTTCATCAGTACCATTTATTCCGTCGCTGTTTCAATTATTCGGTTCCATATTGTATCGATTCACATTTATTGTCGCGAAATTTTATTATCGTAAAATTTTATTGACTGTCATATAATACACATACTATTTGAGGTTTAGATAAAGGATTCATTGTTTCAAAAAATGGGATATAACAAAGGAATAACGGATTAGTTTATAGTGATGAATCATTAGCATTATTCTAAATACTTTGGGTGTAATAAATTTTTTTTTCGATTTTCAACTATCTCTATTTTAATCAATCATATAATTTCCAAAAAACCTTTTTGAAATTCTTGAAATTTGGGAAATTTATTAATTTCATCAAAAACTTTGAAATTCTATATTTTATTTAATCAATTAGAAAAGGTTTTCTTTTAAGACAAAAATTTATTATTTCTTTACCTTTAAAATTTGATCATATTCAAACAATTCAATAGATAATATCATTTCATTATTTCAGATAGCTGTTCTCCATATAACAAATACCGTAATTCCAAGCCTTCCAGCCTCTACATTTCATGATTTTACGATTTCACGACTAGTGCTAAATCGATGCAATCTAAATCAAATAGATGATAATGCATTTGCTGGAGCAAGTCTTGATAAGTTGGTCGACTTGGACCTTTCCGATAATCAGCTAGGTGCAATACCAGCAACTGGTGTTCCACGTTTAACTAATCTCAGGAAACTATCCCTGAATCGAAATCGCATTAGTAAACTGCATTCTAATTCATTCATAAACTATAAATCACGAGATGTACTGCAGAAATTGGAATTAGCTGGAAATCGACTTACGGATCAAACTCTTGATGATTCACTTATTTTCAGACCATTACGTTCCTTGCAACAACTAAGCCTGGAAACTAATGCATTGAATATCATCCCATCTGCCTCATTAGTTAATCAGCGAGAGACATTGATTAATCTGAATTTAGGTTTGAATCAAATTAATGAAGTTCCTGTTGGTACCTTAGATTTTCCAAATCTTAATTCACTTTCACTTGAATTTAATGGCATTTCACAAATCATTCCGCAAGCATTTCAAGGAATTCCTAATCTGCAACATTTATATCTTACTGGTAACAAATTTCCTTCCTGGAAACCTGAAATGTTCACATTCGTCCCACATTTGCTAACCTTAGGTATTGGTGAAACTCCAATTGCCGTGATACCATCAAACGCTTTTCAGGTAATTGCAACAAATTTGTTAGCTAAAAACAACAATTAGTTCTTTCATCTTTATTACTTGAAAGTACTAATTGCATCCACTGTATTTTTAACTTCACTTTTTGTTCTGATTGTTTTCTTTTATTAATTATCACTGTTATATATTTTGATATCTTTTCCTCCATTCTTTTAAGTCATACTTTTTATTATCCTATTCTATCTAATTCATTACTTTCATAATTATCTAGCCATGAAAATTAAAATGTATTTATATTTGCTCCATTCATTTGTCATCCAGTTTATATTTTTTCATTATTTAATTCTTTCTATTGACTTTTACTGTTCTATTTTCAAGTGATTACTTCTATGTTTAGCATTGTATTGTTTTGTCATGAACAACATTTGAAAACAAATTATATATCACAATTAAATTTGAACTCAAGTTATAAATTATATATCGTAGTGCAATTTGAACTTGAATTACATCATCTTTTATCAAACTAAGTTATTCGATAATTTACAAAAATTATTCACCACTGAAATTTATGTTGAAATCATAAAACTTACACAAATTAATTGCAGTATATATCTAAGTTAATACGTTTGGAAATGTCCGAAGCAGCTGTTGATACAATTGAGCGAGGTGTTTTTCAGAGAACACCAAATATTCAAGCAATTATTCTGAATAAAAATCGTCTTTCTGTGTAAGTTGGAATTGTCTATTTTTTCATAAATTGATGAAAAGTTTAACATATAACTTCTCGAAAGAGAATAAGAATTAAAAATAATCCACAATATCTTTGAACTAATCTTCCAATAATAACATTTGACTAAAACAATACATCAAACATTCTCTCAATTTTAGCTTCTAAGTGAATTACCAAAATCCAGTTCAATATTGTATAACATATTGGTAAAGAATTTAAGTTTTAGCTTTATTTCCTTTTCCAGGATACGATCCGACTACTTTAAAGGTTTGGATCATTTGTATTCAGTGAATCTAGGCGGCAATCGCATTGATACTTCGGAACCACTCGCTTTTGCAAATCTTCCACAAATGAATCATCTTGATATCAGGTTTTCTCTAAATTTTCCAAAATTTTAATTTGTGGTTATAGAAGTTTAGATTCAAAATTAGGTATTATTTAAAATTTGAATGGTGCATAATCTATTCAAAATGTTTAATTAATTTATGATAATAATAACCGAATAAAAAAAATGCTTTGTCCGCTTCCCCACTCATCAGAATAATTAATTTTAATAATTCTCATCAGAATAATTAATTTTAGTTTCAATCAGCTCCAAACGCTACCAGATAACACATTTACAAATTCATTTTTACCGGCTCCGAATGAACGGCGTATTATGTACGTATGTGGCAATCCTTGGTTATGTGATTCAGCTTTGGAGTGGTTTCGGACTTATCTCCGAGAAAATGTTGATATTGACATCGATAAACCTGGATGCACTACTGCTTGTATCGATAATATTAACGGTTGTCCCTCAGTTGGTACTCCGTTACGAGCTGTGGATCACTGTCCTGCCAACGACCTACCTCTTCCATTAACCGGCAATGCGCTATCATTCGTTGGCTGGATTATTTTAGGTTGATATTCTCAAAATTTATGTGTAAAATACTGCCGTAACAATCAAGTTATTTCTTTGGTTCTGGACCTATTTCGGATTAAAATGCTCTTTATTCGATATTACTGCTGTTCCCAAATTTTGCTTCTTTTTAACCTCAAACATACTTTAATGCTAAAGTTTTATATTTTCCAGCTGTCATAATGACAATTTTATTGATCACTATATGTTTAATGACACTAGTCCGCTATGGAATATCACTTAGAAGGAAAAAAATGAAGGATCAAGAAGCGCTGGAAAACGAACAGAGGATTATGTCCATAACAGGTTCTTTAATATACGAGACATCATAAATCCTGCCACTCGAAAGGGATAATGCAAGATAGGGAATTATTTGTCTAAAAATAACTAAATAAGCATTAAATTTCAGATCTGATAAAACATTGTCGCGTTTTTCAGGAAGTGGTGTGCCATCAGTAATAACTCAATCTTATTTGCCGCCGCCAACAGTAGATCTCGATTTACCTCCAGCTCACAGTTTAGATGAAACACCAACTAACTACTTGTATTAATTTCCTACCATAAACAAAATTCAAGTTGAGAACAGAAGACCTAATACAATCTTTTTATTTAAGAAACCCATGATCAATACCGGGCACACTGCATAAACCCATATCAGTTTGGCACTAGAAAAGTATATATATATATATATATATATATATATATATATATATATATATATATATATATATATATATATATATATATATATATATATCACATAACGACACACGTAATAGAAAAGCGATATTTTCATTTACGGCTAACATTATAAAAACTATGGAATTTTGCATAACTAGCAATGATTCCGCAACGATACTAACAATGATTTAGCAAAAAAGCATAACAGCAAATCCTCAAGAAACAGTTTGGGTGAAATCACCACACCACTCAAGCATCTTAATCAAAAAACAAGTACAGAAGGAACTATATTCATCCCAGGAACAATACAGAGAGATAGAATGAAACTTCTTGCCGAAGTTAGGAATGCAGATCTTGGATGGCCAATTCAAAATCATATTTCCCAGCCATAAGTCGAGAAGTATATTGTATAAAAGATGAGATATATTCAGTCCAATGAAATTCTAGATAGTTATAATGTTGATAGTAAAACTATGCTGGGAATCGTGATAAAGGAATGGAAAAGGTCTAGTAATATATGATTTGCAGGGACATATACAACGATAAAAATGCTATCTGGATGGTGCAAACCTTCCATGCATCATGGCCCAGGTAAGAAACTGCCGTGGTACATTTAACAACAATTTAGTAACGAGCTCATTAGTGGTCATCGAAGCAGTATAAGGCACAAAAGTAACAACCTCACGACGTAATAAACGGCCTTCAGAAGATTTAAGTATTGGGGAAAGTAAACGTTGCATTGGAGAAAAGTCTTGGTTACCAACTCCAACAATGACAATCGACACAGGTAATTCTGCACAATCCACGATTGCATTCACCGTTCGCTCCGGATTTGTCACACATCCATCTGTCACAATAAGTAACACAAAATAATGATCACTGCTTCCCTGGCGTTGCACCGCTGCTCCAAACCTAGTAAAATCACAAAATATAGAATACATTAGCAAAATCACTACCAATGAAATAATCATTTCAATGGCATTTTGAGCTTTCACTACCCATAGTGTTTTGATACATAATTACTGAAATTAAGTAAATTAAAATGGCTCACTTGTAAGTATGATATATGACCTCTGAATAATCCGTTGGTGCATACGGTCGGAGAGACAGTAAAGCAGAACGATATGCATTCAGTACACCATCAATACCGTCAACATGTGGATCTTTGACATCACCATTCTACAGTTTTACAAAACAAACATGAAATGGTCCAATAGGTGAGGAATGCTAAATGGAAAATAAAATTAGCATAAAAATATAAATTAGGACCTACCAGAAAAAAGAGATGTGAAACTTTATAATCAGGGGGTATTTGTGCTCCGAAACCAAGTGCAGCGATCCGTCCATGTCTGTTATATTTCCCAATTACCGATGTAACTGCATTCAGGGCTGTCATATAGGGATTAAATCTAGAACACGATTTTCAACTATATATGTTAAAACTACTGTTAAACGACTTCTCTAAATTCTCCAATGATCTAGAATATGCACCAAAATACATTAAAAGCAAGTGCTAAATTATACTGTCTGCTATCTAATGATGATTTAAAGTCACTGGATTGAAATCAAATAGGAATAAAAAACAACTTGTGTGGATGTATATAGTGCAGTGATGACGGATCAAGTGGATTCCCGTTCGAAGCTGTAAAATCTACAGCTACTGAGAAGTGGATCTGCGTTCTGAAAAATGTAGTCTTTCACGACAAACAATAATTAATAATTGCTGGAAGTTGCACATACTACTAAAAATAACATGTATACATGTACACAACCTGGTGAAATAGCACAAGAGACAAATCCACTTACCCTGCTTTAAGGTAATCAATAAATGAAGATGATGCAACATGAAGAATGTCCACCAGTTCCACTGAAGTGTTCCTTTTCTTTTTGCCCTCAATACTTGACAACTGCAAGGATCTAGTATGATTATTACGAACAAATTATGAAACAATAAATTAATATGATTACTTGGTAAATTATAGGAAAGAAAATACTTTGTAAGCGTTTAAAGCGCCAATTCCTCTCATAAGCTGATCAAATGATGTCGTACATTTTCCAATCAACTTGTCCCTGAAATGAAGAAATTTTACACATTTTCCACAATTTATCAAGAAATGTGAATAATAATTCATGTTTAATTTAATATTGCTACATTTCTTTAAGGGATATGCCAGTATTTCAATGAATATTTACGCATGTAAGAACCTCATTAGCATACAACACAAAGAGTTCCCACAGAAACCAGAAATGATGACGACTTTCACTTGATGAAAAATGATAATGGTTTCTTTTTTTTTTTTTTTTAACAGTACGAAGAACAAACACTTAGCGAAGGGATCATCACTAAGGAAAGTGAATTTGTTCTATAAAAAGATTAGTTTCTCTGTCCTTCTACTTTTACATAAAACGCTTAATAATATATTTCACATTTTGGAAAGTCATTTGGCATAACACTAGAAACATACTCGCGATTAACATTGTAGTTATAAACATCAATTTCAATCGAGCAGCTGGCGGACGCAAATGAAAAATGAGAAATAGGAATGAGAAAGGTTTTCCACACAGGATTTTTCTCGGCAATCGCTTCACTTTTATGCAGTAGTAATTTTGGTGCGTCTTCCGGAACCAAATACATCACAAAATAGGCGTCTAATGGGCAGTCATTTGATGGTGCATGTAAACTATGACCTTTAAACTGCAAACGAACAGCTTGACCTGACAATTTCGCCTCATGAGTTTCCAAGCGTAAAAACGATATTCCTGCAATAACGACTTGAAAAGACTGTTTTTTTTAAATTTTGTTTGTTAGAAATTAAGGAGCCCCAGCAACCTACATGCAACATAGAAGTTATTCCAGTGAATTGTCATGTAACATGCATATGGCTGTTACTCTTCAATCACACCCATGAGTCATTTTCCTAATTAATCTAAAATCGAAAACTTATTTACTGATCTTTATCCAAATATTCCTCCTCTTTCTTAAAAAAAAAAAAATTAAAAAAAGTTCAAACAATATACCTCCATTTGGAAATAATTGCAGGTCGATGGAACCACCACGTGAAATTACCTCTCCTAATATACATTCCACTTTTGCAACCATACTAATAAACTTTTCGCTCTTTCCATCAACTTGATTTCTACAAAATATAACAATTAATGATTTTTCTTAAAGATAAATGACTTCGTGCCAAAACATAAATTACAACCAGAACTATTAAGAATAGTACAGCATTCAATAAAAGCCAATATAAAACTAACATTACACATTGAAGTTTCTGAGAACTTTCAAAGCAGTATGAAACACAACAGCGACGACTGAAAACTGGATTAGTGTTGCCAATAACTGTTTCCGTTTGTCCGATCTGATCAAAAAAAAGCAATGGCATTAAAGTTGAAGGAATATTGCAGAAAAAGTGATCATTTAGTACTTTCTATAGTAATATTATGATGATACAAAGTGGTTAAGCTTACTACAAAAAACTGCTTCTGAATAAAATCTTTTACATCATTTTATTACCTTATACCAACAGCAAATACAGAAAATGGAATTCTATCTAAAATTTAATTTTTAAAACTAATTAAAAGACTAAGTTGATAAATGAAAAAAAAAAAAGAAAAAGCTTAACCTCAAGAAAATTCTCTTTGCTGCTGGAGCATAAAGAAACGCTAATTCGAACACCTGAGATTGTTTCTATAGGAAGTGCACTGAATATTAAAAATTTTCATGAATGTAGATGAAGATGGCTATACAGAAGATAATAATTAGATGCCATCCGGAATAAACATGCAGTACTGATGGATATTCACGTAAAAACTTTGTAACTAATAAGATCAAAGTTCACGGCCAATAAAATGGTGGCCTGCAGTGACGACCTCTACAACAATGCCTTCAAGTAATTAATTCATCTCAAATTTTGACATCTATTCATCCTGCATAAATCCACATATATCTAAAGAAATGAAAGTGAATTGAAAATATAACTACTTGCAACTGAACGACAATTCGAGTTGCTGTTCCATTTATTCCCATTAATTAAACAACGGTTATGCATCCATTTTTCGTTTTCTAAATCTGCTGCATAGGACGATAAATAACTGAAACAAATTTCGCGTTAAAGAAATAGATTCTTACGCTGCTAGTAAATTCGTTTGGCTCATTAATAGTCATGAAAAGTAATGCAATACATTAAAAGAATAGTTAAAGGAAAAAAAAATTAGTAAACAAGTAAAACTAGAGAAAAATCAATTGAATAAGCAATATAAATCAACGAACCAACTTCACCCATCATCCCATCCCTCCTCTCCACGATTGCTCCCTTTACGATTTCAAAAACACGTTTAAAAAAGAATGTCGTGAAATTTCCACTCTACATTGACTGGAACAATTTGCAAAAACGTAGTTCCTCTCTAACCAATGCTGATTTGTGGCGTACGTGCGTTTCCACTGTAATTTCGGCATAGATTTGTTCAAAAATTTGACAGAGTGAAAATATACATGATTAATCGGTTAAAAGCAATTATTCAAACATACTTTTGTTTGGTGTACTAGTTCATTTAAGTAAGTGTACTAATTTACTTAGCTAGCTTTAATCACTTATTTATTTTGTGTAATTGTCACTTGCTTAAAGTAATAGCAAGATAGTCATAATCTTCAGCTATTCTATCTTAAAATTCAAACCTCGCAAATGGGAAATGTTCTTTGGATCATATGTAAAATGATACGATAAAACTATGATGAATTTTACTTAATAGTATCGGAAATTAAGTAATTATATTATTTATATGGTAAAACACGATAAATTTCACTATAATTTCTTTAAACAAAAAAATAATAATAATAATAATCTTGAAACAAACATTATATTATTTCTAGCTAATAAGAATAAATCTACCGGAAAATGTCGGACTTCTGTTCCGTTTACTATGGGGGGATGATCATTGAACGATTAGAATAGGATTTTTATTGTTTATTCATCTTTTATCTATGTACAGTAAGCTAACAGTTTCTGTTGTCGTTACTACTTATCAGGTATTAATTATTAGATGCCGATCTTTTTTCTTCATTTATTACTGGTTATGATTACGGCATTTATACTTATCAGTTATTTTTCTTATGGAATTTTATTTTTTTTTTTTCATTTTTATGAGTAATATTTAAATTTTAGTCCAATATTTTATCTTAAATTTTAAATGCTTTAACTTAAAGTACTTGGACTGTTAAATTATTGTGTCTTTCTTTTTTTTGTTTCATTTTAAAAAATATTCAGAGAGTTTTCTTATTATTCTAATTTGTATCTCTAATTTTTCTCTTTAACTAAATTTCTCTTATTTTTGCTTATATTTATAAAATGTATAGCAGATGTTATTTTTTTCTTTAATTTCAAAATATTATCCATGCAGTGATTATGTTACAACATCCTATCAAAATATATTCCAGATAGAGTCATCTTCATTAATTATTTACAATCTTTTTTTTTTTTTATTTAAGAATATTTGAGTTCCCTTTCATTTTTTATATACCAAACTAAAAAATGTTGCAATTGCAAAATGTTCGCAATTTCATCAACAATAATATACAGTATTCATTTATATGTATTTGTTTCCTATCCTAATATTCTTTTTTGGTTACTTCAAAACTTAAAACATGTTTAAATATAATCTCGAACAATTTGCACATGTAGAGGCACACTTGCTTATTTCATCGTTATAAAAAGTAGCTGGTAGATAATTATCCAAAATTATAAATAAATCAAAAAAATGATTATTCACAAAAAGAGTAACAAATATAAATAATTATAGCAATACAAAAAAAGGCACTTGTAGTACAAATTAACAGATTGCATTGCATTGAAAAAAAGTCTTCAAACTGTTGAAATTTAATTAGCAACAATGAAGTAAATAATACAAACAAAAATTTTGATTAGAAAAAAGCGGGAGTTTTTGAATGCTTTATTTTCCCAAGAAATTAATATTCGGATAACTTTATTACATTCAAGTTTTAAGCAATAAGAATGAATAAAAACGAGTCAAAATTAAGACATAAATAAGAGATGGTGTATTAGGTTATCAGGTCTTTCATCAATTTAAATGAATTTCATATTGAACAGGAACAGGAAGTTCGTAGTTATGATTTCGCAAGGAATTAAATTTTGTTACAACGTTTTTGTTTTTTATAGATTTGATATATTCAGCCAAATTTTTAATTACTGACAATTAATTTACATTCAGCAATTTATCAATGAAAAAAAAAAAAAAAAAAAACAACAAATAATATCTCGTCTAAGTTATTTCTGGTTTTAGTCGAAAGTTTTTCATGAATAAACGATTTTTTTTTTCTTTTTAAATATTTCTAAAAGTATTTATTTTGGAGAGAAAAACTAATGCAAAGCATACTTTTAAATCTTATGCAATTTAAATTTTGTTTCATCAAGTGAAAAAAATGGATTACATAATTTGCTATCATAAAATGTTAGAATATAAAATGCCTATCATTATAAAATATCATTCGTCCATTATAGAAATCAATTGTTGAATGACTGCTCTGAAAAGAAATGATTCAAATAGTTGCTAATTAGAATTTTTCCTTTCTAACAAAGAAAAATGATTCAATAAACCTATTTGAGTTTTGAAATATGAAAGTAGTTCAATTAATTCATAAATATTTTACAGGTAAAAGAAAATTTTTCAAAGCATTTGCTTTCTCATGCATAACATGTCATTACATTGGCTTGCATGAAATAGCATATGCTTATCCCGCATTATGCAGTTATATTCGAAAAGCGTGAAACTTCTTGGCATCATCGATTGAAAGTATTATCAAGAAGGTAATTGATGAGCATTATGTGCTGTCATACTTTTGTATTATTTTTAATTATTTTTGTGTGAATTATGTTTAAGTGTCTTTTTTTTGCTAATTGCATTTTATTAATTATGTCATTTTTTTTTCAAAACTCCTTTTTTTGGTAAAAGTTGAGATTTACAAGTTCATTTCTCTAATTTATATTAAAATTTTCTGCTTTAATTTTATTTCCATTGTTTACTAATCCAATTAGTATGAAAGTAAATATTTTTCGCTCCCTCATACCATAAAAAATTATCTTATTTTGTTATTTTGACTAATGTTTCTGGAAATTACAATTTCTGACTTATCTGTATTGACTTTTTTGCTCTTTCTCTTATTTTTATGGTTCATTTAATTATGTTCTAAAGAATTACGATGATTCGATTTATTGCTTTTCTGTAGTTTAGGTTTTTGACTAATTCTTAACAAGCTATTTAGATTTCATTTAAAATTTATATCTTTTTATTCAAAATTGACCACAATTTTTTATATTTTTTACTGCATTTGTTTTGATGGTACTCTTCAGTATTTTTCCACCATTCATCACTTTTTTTCCAAACATTAATAATTTGGTAAAAAAGTTGAAAAAATTGTGATGTTGTTTTTAAAAATCCATGTTTTGCACTTATTTTATTTGCAATTTTGTTGTCGCTTTGTTTGACCTTTAAGACTTATATTTTTTGTCTTCAATCAATAAGGGACTGATTTTGAGAAAGAATTATGCTTATATATCATTAGTTTGATGCTTACGATATGAGTAAGTTTTAGATTTTTCAGATGAAAGTTATTTCCTATTATTAATTTGTTAATTTTTTATTGCTTCCTTAATATCTAATTTGTGTAAAATGATTTTAACAAATATTTTTGCTGCTTGGTGCTTTTCTATCTAAGATGGATATAGTTTTAACTTGATTTTGTTTTATCTTATGTTTACATGATAATATTCTGTTTTATTTATTTCACTAAAATATCCTGCGCATTCATTTGAGTTATCGTTTGTTTTGTATATATTTTTTTTCTCTTTTTTTTTTCTAATTTTATGTCTAGTATTTGTTTAGTTAAGAAAATGAATGATGAATATGTTCTGATGCAGAATGACATAACATCAGCTAATTTGATCACAAATAAAGAGATCTCGAAACAACTGAAAGTGATCATTCACAATTCGGTCATCTCTTCACCCTTAAGGTCTCCTCCAAATTGATAGTATTAATCAGTTCCGGTTAAAGATTTGTTTTATCTCCGTTGTTTATTATCAGTTTATAGCTGCTATAATTTCATTTTGATTTTACTAATCTCTAGTATCATTAGCATGTGTTTTCTAGTAGATATGATATTCTCAAATATATGTCAGCATTGAATGATTCCATTTAAATTATCTTATGTTCAACAAGGAATCGTTCATTCATTTCAACAATCTAATTCTAATCCTAGATAATTGACAAAAACGATTAATTCTCAGCTTACTTAATGTTGTAATTATCCATGCTATTGTATAGTTTTAGAACTCTGTGTGTTCAAAATTGTTGGAATTTTTTATAGCAGATAAATTTTAACTCTATTGCAAATTTCCTGAATGAATACAGGAATTTTCTTCTTGGATTCACGTTTGCTTTATAAGAGATTTTAGAACCCGAGTACTAATTCAATGATTGGTCGTTTAATGGATATTTTGCATCGGTTTTATTTTTTCTTGTTCGATCGATTAATACTCTATCCACTGTTAAACTTGCTGTGCAGTAAGCTTAGTATACGATTCATGAATCTTGGATACCAGAGTAAGGAAGATGAGGATTTCCCAATCTTGGGAAAATTATTCGAAACGGACAATTGCTGTAAAGCTAATATCACACTTTACGAAAAAGCATTAAGTTTATGTCCCAAGTATCCCAATTTTGACGGATTACAGTTGCTCGAAGTTGGCTGTGGTCAAGGTGGTGGTATCGAATGGATCTTAAGGTTAATTGGATGAAATTTGCAAAAAAATATTTACAAGCACAAAAGTATTTGGGATCTTCCTTACTTTTCTTGAATTATAAAGTAACTACCCAAATAAAATTAATAACAGTAATTGTGGGGTGGAAATAATTTAGAGCAGAGCTCGAGCAAATATAATAGCGAACTTCCCAAACAAACGAGAACCTCAACATTAAAGTTACACAAATGATTATAAAATGGGTACACTAAATACTATGTGACAAATAGACTACAATTACTCAGGTATTGAAAATTAATTGCAGGGCGCATTCATTTGCAGCTGTAAGTGGCATTGACCCAATCATTGCGAATACATATTCCGGAAGAATTTTTAGGGGAAATGCGGAAAAATTGCCATTTGTCAATGATTCATTTGATATCATAATAAATATCGAAAGTAGTCATTTGTACGGCAATTGTCAGCAGTTTTTCCTGGAATGTTCCCGAGTTTTACGTGAAAATGGGTTTTTATGCTGGGCCGATCTTCGCTATACTCATCAGGTATCAAGCTAGTGGTGTGTTGTATTAAATTCTAATTTCCAAATATCTTATTTTCAGTTGAAAACAACCATGATTCAAGTACAAAGATCTGGTCTACAACTCATTACAACAGAAGATATCACAGAACAAGTACTACGAGGTATTGAATCAACGGCAGCAAGATACGATGCAATGCTTCAAAATGCACCCTACTTAATCCACCTTTTTCGAAACTCCATTCGAACTACATACTGCGCACCGGGAACGAAAAGTTACGAACGCCTTTTGAAACGTGAAAAAATGTACATTTGTGCGTGCTGGCAAAATTACAAGAAAATCAAATCTGATTAAACAACTGCACCCAAATTTAATGATTTTCATATTTAACTGTCTTTTTCAAATGACTAAACATTATTAAGATTTTCTTCGAAAAAAATTTAGCTATGGTGTCAAAACTCTATTATTAGTAGAAGAAAAAGATTAACAAAAGTTAATACACATGACTTTATTTGCTATAGTCACTATCATCATCATCGTCGCCAGTATCATTATTGTCAGTTTCGGAATTCGATTCTGGCATATCAATTGATCGCTGTTTCGTTTCATCTGCTTCATTTTTCAGTGCTTTCAGATGAGCATTTTGATAAGCGATAATATCAGCACCATTTTTACATGCAGCATATGCATCCAGTAAATCTATATTTATTCTTAAAAAGTTCGGACCCCATTTGAATCTAGAAAGAAGCATCTGTGCATTGTTCTTTAGACCAATAATATACAGACCCGCTGCAAGTGCTTCGACACAACTCAGTTGGCATGGCTTCCCAAAATTCACCGGATTTGCAGCAACTAAGTACGGCAGAAGACGACGGTGCGAAGCTTTTGCTCTGCTTAAATCAACATTCCCAACCTGAAATGATAAAAATTTGCAGTTAAATAAAAACATATTTGTGTAGCCCCAAAATTTTTCTGAAACCAAAATTTTGCTCAAGTCGCTTCACTAAAGTGACATGCAAAACTTAACTAGAATTAACGATGAAAAAACAGAAACCTGATTCCAACTGCAGTCCACAACAGCAAGGCCGCCAGTTTTAATGTAAACGAGATCAGCAGGAGAAATTGTTCGTTCACCACCTGGAGAAAGCAGCAAACCAGGAAATTTGGTTCCCAGCTTTAAAACTTTGGTAAAGCCATAACGCAATAGCTTTTTTCCTGTACATCGCTTCGGATCACACTGTTTGAAATCAAACATTGCTGAAATTACAAAACTTATGAATTTTTAAAGCCAATGAAACCAACGGTTGGGACTTATTTTTCCATAGCCTATGTTATCTGAAAAATAAGCCGTTACAGACATTCTAATTCTTCTGAACAGCTACAACATCCTGATGATGGCAGGTGATAGAAGTGTATCTGCGCTTTGATCTGCACATTGATGAACGATACGAAAAACAAATATGAAATAAATTTTTCAATGAATATGAAATATTGAGCAAGAAATACTTTGTGGCTTACCTAAACTGAAGGGAAGTCCCCAAACTGCATCTTCCTCACTGTCAGAATCTTTTTCATTTGTGAGGCGTGTTGTTCGGCGACACATAGTATATTCCATTCCAGAAAACATTTCCTTATTTACGAATATCTAAATCTGAAGTATAATATACCGCTACACGTACGACATAAAAAGAATCAGACATAAAATGAATCAAATTTAAAAATCCAAAAGAGAGAAGGAAATATGGAAATTTAACCAGTGTTTGATTTATGAATAATGAAATAACGCAGAAACATTTGTTACATAACACCAAAAATAACAGTTATAAATATTCGCAATACATACATTGAGCTTAGTGTAATTTCGCTTAACAGTATGGATCTACTCAATAAAATATTACAAACATGTGCACTAATCAAACAAATCAACAATAATGATCTACATCTACTGTATGGGAGATGCGTCATAAATGATTGGAATTCTACACTTGGGAAATCCATGTAAAAACATTCACGATCACCTCTGCCATTATATATATATATATATATATATAACAAATCCAACTATGACACATTCTTCGACATTAAATTACCGCAGTTACACCTTTCCTTCCACTTATCAACCATCAAAAATCATGGATTAGAAAAACTTCAAATGATGCATGCATAAACTACTCCTTCGCTAAATTTGCTAGCAAATCATTATTTTCGGGAATTATCTTCAGTCAGGGAACGTTAACACATAACTGAAAATATCATAGAGATAACAATAAAAGTGTATAAAAATGTAGATGTCAAGTGAAATTTATCAAGGGGAGAATGAGAGGTCGTCAAAAAACACCAAAATCCCATAATTTGACGGTCATGTCATAAGAGCCTGATACAATTTGTTGATCACTGAATTGCACACATGTAACACCGTCGGTATGGCTATGAAGAGTACATATTCTTTCACCCGTATGCAAATTCCATACCTAAACTTTACAAGGTTACTGCACAAATTTGGATAAAGCAGAGCGATAAAATTATTAAAATAATTTATCATCGAAAAAGCAGAGCATGCACCTTGATAGTCCGATCATCTGCTGCTGAGACAATTCTCCATGAGTCGACTTGAAGACATCGAACTACACCTGTATGACCTTCACTTAATTTCCAATCTAATGTTTGCACACATTTTCCAGTTCGTAAATCCCACATCTTAAAAGTCATAAAATTCTTATCTCACCTTCAAAAAAAAAAAAAAAAAAAAAAAAAACAAATTCGAATACTCCAAGAAAACTTTTCATCCTTTCTGTTTTAAAAAACTGTGCTCGCCAGGAAGACTTTGACCTGACCCACAGCGATTCTAGCTAGCAGTGATTCAAACTTGCGTATCCTGTCATTTAAAACAGAAGGAAGTTCCCTAGTTTTTGAAAAATGCGTTACAATTTGCTACGGTAAAGTCAAGCTTCGACATGCATAGAATAGTAGTTGTTAGCATTCATTATGTCACTAAAGATGTGCAAGCAAATTTAAACACAAAAATTGAGAAAATCTAACCTTAATTGTTCGATCGACAGATCCTGATACAATTCTCTCATTATCAAATCGAAGACATGTTACCGCATTGTCATGTGCGTTGTGCAGTGTCATTGCACAGATATCCATTCGTTCATCCCAGCACTTAAATAGTTGCTTTCACAGCAAGCATGGATTTTGTTCAGCATGGTAAATCTTATGCTAAAAACAGTGACAGAAAAAAAGGAATAATTTTCCATTGTTTTCATTTGTTATCAAATACTTCTCTCGAAATCATCTGCATTGGAATACTAATAAACTAACTTTCATCGACAGATCAGCCGAACCCGATACAAGCAAGTGTCCGTCGGACTGCATACAGATCACTGCTCCATTATGACCTCTAAAACTTATAAAGATACCAAATGAACAACTGCATTAAACCCAATTTCATGATAAAGTGAGATGATAAAAGACATTTATAAACATGGACGGTTACATTCTGCACAATCAGTTTTTTTTTTTTTTTGACAGATAACGTCACTGTTAGGAGATGTTATGATCTGATAGCTTTGATGATTTGATTCATGTAAAACTTACATTAAAGTCTTCGTACACTGTCCTGTTTCAGTAGACCATATTTTCAAAGTATGATCATATGAACCACTGATCAATCGTTCCTTTTCCATCTAAACGAAATCCACCTTGAATGTCATAAGTGATATAATTTTCCCAGTTTCAAAGAAAGTATTAAAAAAAAAAAAAAAAAAAAAAAAATACAAGTTAGGATTCAATGAAAAAAAAAGTGCATATCGTTTTAAACAAAAATGAATTACCTGCAGGCACCGAACGAAATTCGTATGCCCGATCATTGTTTGACGACAAGCAATAGAAGACCATGTTCGATTTACAGCAAGACCCCAAACCTTCAAGATTTTTTCACTGTAATAAAGTGATTTCGTTAAAATCACGTCTTACTTGGTATTTTACTGGGTAGAACATACCTCGATTCCTAATCGATGCTGATCGAAAATGAAAATATCTTAAAATAACCAATAGTGATAATGTATTTAAAATCACTGTAGTTCAGAGATGACCATTAAAAAAATCTTGATCTTAAAAAAAAAATGAAGTCCACTAACTTTGATAGTTAAATCATTGGAGCCAGAAGCAAGTCGATTACCACTTAAGTGCAAACAGCGAACGGTATCAGAATGGCCTGTCAATGTCATGGTACCTAAACCCGACATAGCAGAACTCTTCATATCCCAAACACGAATGGTATTATCGCTGCTTCCCGACACAATACGATCACCGTCGAATTGAACGCAAGATATACCTAAGAGATGCTGTGCTACAATATTTCAGCTAGTAATTAGAAACAGTGCAGTTTGATGATAAGTTTTTAGATAAGTTGACCATTTTAACACGATCTAATAAACCAACTGGTCCTACTTGATAATGTAAAGCCACCCGACCATCGATAAGCTTTAATTTGTTAATCAAAACAGTGTTACAATATAACTAACGATAATTTTAAGAATAAGGCGAAAAAATTACCTTGAGTGTGACCCTCAAATGTACGAATAACACAACGACCTGCATGCCAGTTCCTCCATAAACGATAACGCTCACTAAATGCTTCCTTCCACAGTACTACACCATCGCGTGTTGTGTGCTTCTTCAGCTGCTCATTTTCAGTTTCAGCTGAACACAGTCGAAACATGCGCTGAAGTGTGCATAGTCTTTTCCATAAGCATGGCGCCATACATAAATTTCTCCAAGCAGTACATACCAGCATGCATTTGCAAAGTGACTCTGTAATAAAATTAAAAATTTAGAGAAAAGAAATTCTCATTTCATAGATTTCTCTTCTGTTCAACGCAGTCTGGACATAACAGCAAGATGTAGAAGTAATAATCGTTAATATTACTGCACTATAACAGTGATCACAGAATCTCTAAGCAAAACAACAAATCTAAAAATATATTTTATATAATCAACAGAGGATAGATAGCAAGTATTGACAGTCTTCATCGGATAGATTAAAGTAATAATTGATACAATAATTTCATGATTAGTACAATAAATCTACTTCAAATCAAATGCATGACAATACCAATAGGTTACTATCGTAAACTTGCTTTAGAATATATATATTAAATTACTCGAGCTAAAAATTCTGATAATCACGTCAATTCCTTCTTCCTAATGCAAAATTTATTAGATTTTTTTTTCATTCATCTTTTTATGACATTTACATTTACTAGTATGCATTTTTTAAAAACATATTTTCGGTCATGACAGTAGTGAAAATATGATGAAATTCTCACTTGGATCCAAAAGGCGAAAAATCTTTAAAGCAACTGGCAGCGGAAGTGAACTAAACAAATCGATCTCTTCAGTGCTCACATTGCTGCGCATTTCTTCCAGCAACGAAGTTGCATATTCCAAATTTGATGGATCACAGACATTCTGGAAAATATGTTAAGGACGATGTTAGTAATTAAATTTAATAAAAGTTTTGTAATTAAAAAGAACAATAACATCAGAATCTTTTTACCAATATTTCGAAAAGCAGTGCATTTTTCTGTTCCGTATCGGTTTGCTTTAGATGAAATCGAAGATACTGAAATAGAGTGATGGATAATTATAATGTCATTTTTAAAGTTTGGTACAAATGCCACAAAATTCGAAAGGAAAGTGTTAACGATGAATATTTACATAATTAAAATGGGACATGACATATCGTGCCTATCACGATTACTGATACGAGTTTCCAGTATTCTATATAGCATGTCTACTATGGCATTTTCTCGGATAATTGATGTTTTAAGGGCATATCGAATTTATTGCTTTGAGTGCATGTCGACGGATATTGCGGTCAGAATTGAAATGATTAATTCGTATTAGTCACTGAAGATGGAAAATTATAATAACCTTTATAAGATCGATATCAGAAAAGAAATCATATGCTGGATCAAATGCCGAACCATTCATTTTCTTTCGTTTACTAGTTGATAATGAGCAATCACCTAACGATGAACACATAGCCGACGTTGAAGCCTTATTCGCGCTGCGTGATCTGCGTCCATCCATTAAACGTACTGAAATATAAGAAGTGATCAAAGCATGCAAAAAAAGTACCATATGAAAGAAACGCTACCGTTAAGCGACGTCAGCCCAACATATAGCCGACGCTGAAGCATCCAAATCGTCATGAACTAGTAGCTTCCATCATCAACCAGCACTGATTGTTGAAAAACCCGGAACATTTCATGTAAATTTATGCTAATGAAACCATACTTTAATACCTTGTTAAGCTGTATCTTTCATTGCGTTCCGTAAACGATATTGTCGGATTTTTGAATGTTACTTAATTTTCATGTTAAACTGATAAAATCCTTCACATCTCAACGGAAATGCAGTGATACCCATACAGAAAAGTGAGAAACAAACCTGAGTTACTACAAAGTAGAATAGACCGCAGTATGCTGCGGTGATACCTTGCCAGATGGGTGTCATTCGTCGAGAATGGTTAGAGATTGATGAGTCTTCAGGTTCTCGGAAATACCGCACAGGATTATGAGGTAAGGTTTCTCTTTCAAGTAACTTATGAATCTCTTCTGTTTCACGGTGTTATAGGGATAATATAATAAGCCTGGACAAAACCTTTTGTGGGTTTTATTAGTTTTGCTCACACTTTCGACTACTTTAGTGATCCCCCGTAATATTGTATGCTGAAATATAATATACGCCGAGATATCCCTAACCTTTACTTAATAAAGAAGAATCTTAAATTTACATCTTGCAGTTTTCATAAACCACACATTTAATCAAGCTTTATTCTTAAAAAATATCCAGATCAAGCTTTAATACGCTGGCAGATTATTACATAACGACCTCAAAATACCTTTTTTTTTCTACACGTATTCCTTTCCTTCTTTATGGTAGGTCGAGAAGTCAGAAGCTACCGATTATCACACAAGAGCAACCGAATGCGCAAGAAACAAAAGTGAACAATAACTCCAAAAACTTTGTTTTATCAGATTAACGAATTAACATGCAAATTAACTTCCATACCATCGAAGAAATTAGCATATAATCACATCTGATGCTATTTCTTAGTAACCTGACTGTCAGTCCAAGAAATCACCTGATTATGAATGAAGGAAATAAACAATTAGTTCTTCGTTAGCGCCGACCCACTCTTCACTGTTAGACTAATTTCGTGTAAATGATCACCTTTCAGAGTGGTGATTATTACTGAATAATCTTGATTTGTTCAAATATTTGTAAAATATTGGGGAATAGAAAAAGCAGTTCCATAAAGCAATGCATTTAATCGGATTTTATTGTAAAAATAATCAGGTGAAGCTTCAAACGCATCGTTTCATGGCGGGTATTGCAATTGGAGGAGTGTTGACTGGATGCATTGGTTGTATGGTTACTGTTGAAATTCTTACAAAGTATCTTATTTTATCTATAATCATACAATAACTCAAAATCATCAAGAATAATTTAAGATAAATAAAAAGAAGTCTTCTTATTGCACAAAAGTGCTTCGATAATTCAAAAAAAGATTTTAAGGGGTAGTCCGGAATGTATGAATTTGCTAACTTGTTCAACATTCATTTTTGTATCATTTATTGGCTTTCTCAAACAGTCGCATTACTTCAAGCAGTTATCACGAAGCAGAGTGCCGTTGTTACGGTTACTTTTCCATTTTTCAAAAATTGATAAGCTTTGTTAGGGACCTTATTCGTAAATGATCTAAGCAGAAAAAATCTCATTGTTTGCACCCTTAAATTTTTTTCAAAATGGCTAAACAGTTTTAGTTTTTTTTTAGAGGTTATTTTTTATTTTTTTTTTTATTTTTTTTTTTATTTTTTAAAATATATTTTAGAGGTTATTTTAGAGGCACGCATTGTTTTTATGTTCTTTGTGGTGAATGTTTCGAACAATTTGGCATTGCGATATAATGTTTCCATACCGCTATTTATCATATTCCGTTCGGTAAGTTTTTTTTTTTATTTCGTTCTCCACCCATTCCGATAACCGGCCTCAAAGAGAACGGTCTCGTTATTTTTCGTCAAATATCATCGATTAATGTTTTTAAAGTGCATTTATAAAAAATAGGAATGAAAACTCTTGATATGTTTGATCTGTTTTGCTTTCCAGCACAAGTTTAACATTACTGATTACAAAGATATGCTTACTAGCTTTTGAAATATGTTCATTTAAGTTTTAGCAGTACATGAAAAGCGTAACTGTAAACCATGAGGTGATATTTGGTGGCTAATGATGTAGACTTGTTTCGGAATGACGTTATATTATTTTAACATACAAAGTCCAAGCCATTTGTTATGTGTAAAACATGCTCTGGTAACCCGATAAGATTTAATGGAAGTTAATGATTGAACATTTCGGTTTGGCTAAATAGTAATTATCTTTCGTCCCACGCTTTTTTTTTTTACTTTATATGTTTCACTTCCAACTTATGTGGATCTTTAAAGGTGCTACCAAAACTATTTTCACAAGTTACAGTTAATGTTCCTTTGGTTAATGATGGTCTGTTGTGCAGAGAATATTGCTTGCAAATGTGTTTCTGTTTGAGGAACAGAATTTGTTCTTTGGGAAAGCTCTTGTCGATAATGTTCGTTAGCGTGGGTGTTGTACTTTTCACATTAGCTGATCAGTTTTCGAAATATCACATAATAGAAAAGGATGGAAAAAGTGTACATTCATTATCTAATTTGCATTTCAATCCAGGTTCTATTTGTTTCTTGTTTGTGTTAAAGTACTTATTCGCTAAAAAGATATTGTTTGGAACTTAACGATTTTATTATTTGAACTTTTATCCTGAATATAAACTGTAATTGTCTAGGATTATTATAAGATCAATGAGGCAATTCCTTGAGCATCAGCTTTTGAGAATTTCATTTTGGATTGAATGCATATCAGTAATTTCGGAAGCATGTAAAAATAGATTCCAATTAGAGTAGAAATTAGTGAGTATTCTCTCTAGCTTGCAGGTGGAAACAGTGGTGCAACCCATCTTATCCACAGTTCCAGCTTATCCATCGTTTCTGTTCTACAAAATTTCAACAATCTATGTTGTCTGTCTTTTACTGATTGGCTTTTTGTTTCAGGAAGATTTTTACTAATGTTTGCAACTTTCTTGTCTGCTTATCTAGGCATATGTCAAGAAAATCTGTATTGTACATATGGGAATCATTCACGGGAAGCAATATTTTTTATTGTAAGTCTAATGTGTTCGTATTGTTTTTATGTATGCTGTTATCAGTAGGTTTATTCTAATTTTTCTGGAAATAAAATTTCCACACAGAAAATTTTGCAGCATTTTTTATCATTACCGGGCTTTTTTCTTTTCAATGATATCTGGCAAGCTCTAGTCCATTTTAACAATTCGGATGTTTTCTTCATTTTTGGACTACGTTTTCCTCTTCTTTTATTGTGGATTTATATGGTTTTGAACTGCATATTCCAGTGAGCAGTTTTTTTCTTCTTTTTTATTGTCCTCAACTGTAATGGTAGATTGACATGATTACTTATTTGTTTGACCATATATTATTCAAGAATAATATAGTCCGAGATGTCAAGAGCTCCAGTTTTAATGTTTTTAATTCATCATTTATAGTTCCTAGGTTAATATAATTTTGCTATTCACAATTATAAGTTATGTTTTCAGAGCGAAGCTATTAAGATGCTGTGATGGATGAGACTCCTGACAAAAAAAAAAAGTCAGAAATAAGTATTGAGATACTCTCTGTGGTTAATTAGCAATCAGTTTTCTATTTTTGAACCAAATTCTTTAACGGATAATTATTAGATAATTATTCTAAAAACCGGAAATGTTAACGAATTGCAGATGGATATGTATTACGAATGTGCATACACTTATTTCGCTGACTACATCGCTGAATGTTGCAATGGTTATAACGCTAAGGAAATTCTTATTGATGGTTCTTTCAGTTATTTTATTCAAAAACCCATTTACATTTATGCATTGTATAGGCTGTCTCCTTGTATTACTCGGTACCATAGCGTCCACTTTGTGCGATTTCAAATTTAAGTTTGCACGGAAGAAAAGTGTGTAGATATGTGTGGATAGGTTATAACAGATTTTATACAATTCTTAGGTGAAAATATGGTTAAAAATATTGTAAAAGAACCTCTACTGTAAGCATATTTCTGATATATTTTTGATTTCTCTGCTAGCACTTTCTGAATTATTACCATAGGAATAAATAGTAGATTCTAGCTTTGTCTTTTGGCCCCGTTTTCTTTTATTCAAGTTTTGTTATAGTTTCTTCTTTCTATGCATTTGTACAATGTTCATAAGCTTTTATTACTAATGAAATTAATTCCTGTTCTCGTTATTGTAAAAGTTGCCTTTCTCTTGTGATGTTTCGTTTTGGAATCGTCAGTTTTAACCAAAAAACCAAAAAAAAAAAAAAAAAAATTCACTGATATGATTCCAGAATATAAGTTGAACAAGCATGATGAGCATTGATAAAATAAGTAAAAACAGGAAATGCTAGTAAAGCAGCTGCTTACTTTGAAAGAAGTAATCTGTTGGGTCATTTACATAGTGGGCACAAAATTTGGTTTCTTTTGTGTATCCATAAACGCGACATGGTCGCATCTACTTTAAAAAAACTTCGAATTTTTTTACAAATTGATATACTGATTATGTCAAGACACAATTTGTTTGTCATTTATTACTATTTTATTACTATATTTTAATGGAATGCTGCTGTACTCTACATGGTAGATTTAAATATAGAAGTATAGGAGTTTCTTTTTTATTTTTATCATCTGTTATTGATCGTTGTCTCGTAAGGAAGAGATTACATCTCGTTATTTCTTTCGAACAAATGGGGATTTTCCAGTACAGCATGATCAGATTAGAAATGCTGTCTGCATACTTCACACTAACTTTTAAAACAAAATGAGAACAAATCTCAATACATCATTCCAGAGATTTTTATTCCCCTTCCCTACTTTTATTTCATGCGAAGTTTTATAGACGTTTTTTATGTTCGAAACTGCAGGGATAACGTACTTTTTTTGCCTCTTTTGTACTGGTCGCCATTTCGAATTTTGGAATATTTTTCAAAAAGTTCCAGTGAATGAAAGAGTTCTACATGGGTTCACTTACAATGAGGAGAGCATAATAAAAATCTCAAATGACTGGTGATTTATATGTTTACATTAGCTTTTAAATTTTACTTAAAAGGAATTGAAATAAGAGTTTTGGGAAATACTACTTCTAAAGGCAAGGAAGGGTGAGGTTGCCTTTTTTTTTGGTTACAATTTTTATTGCAGAATACATTGTGCATGTCGTGCCATATGAAATAGTAGTCAGCTTTGGTCATAATTCTACAAACATTTAATGCCTTCATTCTATTACATATTCAGTGTGCATTTATTATGTTTTTTGTTTCCAAAAATTTCTGAGTTTATAATGCTGATGTTTTGATGAAGTACCAACTTTCCACTGAAAATAGTAAAGTTTTCTAGGGCTTTTATTGGACAAAAATGAGTAACAGAATTAATAAGTCAAATGCTATTACGTAGAACTGGATTTATTCATTATTTATTCAGTTATTGTTATCGTACTCCTAGCTGAATAAACAGAGAATCCGAAATTTACTGAACAACACTGTTCCCATATTCGTGGAATCATTAATTAGAATGACCTAAACATGATAGAGGCGTTTTATCACTCGTGTAATTGAGATTTAGTTGGCTGTGATTTGTTCCATTTCCCACAAGAATTTTACAAGTTTTAAAGGATTTTATGATCGTAAATAAATAATTGAAATTACTGAATAATGACATTTACGCAGCAAGTTGATATGTGTTATCACTCTTCTTATGGAATATGTAAAAGTAAATGTCATTTAATAATAATGTTTAAAATCATTTCCAGAACATTTCAGCCAAAAATGTTCTTTTTGCTAAACTAATTATGAAGTTTTTGTAAATATTTACTGATGCAGGAATAATTTTCCTCGCGTTCCTTCCCTCTTTCCTCAAAAAAAAAATTTCATCAATTGAAGGAATATGTCGCAAATAAGTAGAGAAAGCTGCTGTAGTCGATAATTAGGCGTGAGATTGTATTTGTTTGAATCCATTTTACTATCCTCTTTTCCATCTTACTCATCTCCAAGAATATTGAAAAGATCGAGGAAGATGCACATTTAGACTTTTAAAAGCAGTGTTTTGTATTTTCTGACTCTTATTTACACGTCTAAATGATAAATTTCAACTTCTTCTACATTTAGGCTCTTCTAATTTCCACAAACTTCCTGGTTTGTTGTTTACACTGAATAACAATATGTTGTGTAAAGTTTTTGATTCAGTGGTTGAAGTTTATTTTTTTTTCCATGTTGTAAAACAAATAAGTAAAAACTTAGGCTTACTTTTAATTATACCAAACGTTTCCAGCAGTTCTGACAGATCCAACTTAGTGATTCCAGAATGAACTTTAAAATTGTGTTAGTTTCTTCTAATCTAGTCATCCAGGAATGAGGAAGTTACTTAAAAATAGTTATATATTAACTTAGACTGATTTGTGATAACATTTGAAAATGGTCGTAGAGTATGGAAGTTTCGGTTGGTATTCCTCATAACCTCTTCTATTTAAAGTTGGGAGAAAATAGTTTTATTTTTTCCATTTGCTCAAATATTGATTTGATAATCGGACAATGAATGAATAACTACATGGGAGTCAGTTGAAATTTGGATAATATAAATCCGGCTAATTATCAACCGTTATCACTAAAATTCAAGCAGTTAGTTTTATATCTGTGTTTCAATTATCAAATCAGCAACTTCAGTGTGAATAATAACGTTCTATATTATTTAGAAGGATGAAAATTCATCTTTTACAATAATATCAAGTGATTTTATTCATTTTCATTGCTTATTGAAGTTACAAAAATGTTATGTTCAACAAAAATGTTCAACAAATGAAGCATAAAACCTTTTAATGATTTCCTCTGTATTTTTACGAGCATTGTTAGCAAGAAATGTTAATGTATTAGTATGATATAAATTACATCTACAGATATTTCGTGAAAAATAACAAAAATTTTTCCTATGGGAAAGGAAAAAAAACCTGAATATTGATTTCTCCAAAATTTTTCGGATGTAGAAATGATTCCCGAAATATCACCTTGTTTTCAGTATTTTCTTCGGTCGATTCAGAACCGTTCTTTTCTTTTGTCTTAGCTTAAATATTTTATTATGACGATTAATGCAACGAAAATGAATACAGAGACGCAAGAAAACTGTCTTGGTAATAGGAGTTCAATGAAGACTATTTCTGAAGTGGAAAGATACAAATGTCGGGCACGGAAAATTGCTTTAATTACTGGAATATCGGGACAGGTAGTCATTTTTTTCTTTATCTCATTTCAGCTTTATATATACAATTTTGTTGGATAAAAAATCGATTAAGATCCTTTGCAGGGATATATGAGATAGTACAATATCGATTCATTAATTGCTATTTTTTTACTAGGCAGCTATCCAAATAGTACTGTTTTAGGGTTATATTTTTGTAATCATTATATTGAATAAATTGGTTTAAAATGATCAAATATAATAAGTAGTAATCAGTTCTGTTCGTGATGTTCTTTTAATTATATTAGGATGGTTCCTATCTTGCCGAATTGTTGTTGTCGAAAGGTTATGAAGTGCATGGAATTATCCGACGATCGTCATCCTTCAACACAGCCCGCATAGAGCATTTGTATTCAAATCCAATAACTCATCATGCCGACTCCAGCTTCACGCTCCATTATGGTGATATGACAGATTCATCCTGCCTGATTAAAATTGTCAGTCAGATTCAACCAACAGAAGTGTATCACTTGGCTGCTCAAAGTCATGTCAAGGTTTATTTCTTGAAAATTCTTTTCCTTAATTTTTTAGTTGTTTGCATTTCTGAAGATTTAATACATTTGAATATATATCATATATTTCAAATACTTAGCTATTCAAATATTAGCTAAGTCATTTTTTGTCTGACGATTGATGATGGATGTTATAGGTATCTTTTGACTTGCCAGAATATACAGCTGAAGTTGATGCTGTTGGAACGCTGCGTTTACTGGATTCCATTCATGCCTGTGGTTTAACTAATAAAGTAAAATTCTATCAAGCCTCAACATCCGAATTGTATGGTAAAGTACAAGAAGTGCCTCAAAAAGAAACCACACCGTTCTATCCTCGTTCACCTTATGGTATGTTCTATTTAACATATTTGATAATTATCGGAAGAAAGTTTATCATATCTTGTCGTTCTAGAACTATTTTAAATCAGTTTTTTGATAACTTCTTTTTCTTCAATGATAATATTCATCGATATCGTAGTTAGGACAAATGAGAGACTTTTAACTGATCGCTACCCTATTTAAGGAATTTGTATATGGTAGAGTACCATATTTGGCTGATTATTAGTTGGTAATTGAACAACTGAAATAATCTCGATGTTTAATTTTTTTTCTTTTTGATTACAGCTGCCGCGAAGCTTTATAGCTACTGGATTGTGGTCAATTATCGTGAAGCATACAGCATGTTCGCTTGCAATGGAATTTTATTCAATCATGAAAGCCCACGACGAGGTAACTTTTTCTTTCTGTTTACACTGCTCATATTATCAGTCATTAAAAATGCCATGTGTACAGGCGAGACATTCGTTACACGTAAGATCACGAGAGCAGTTGCAAAAATTGCCTTAGGGCAGCAAGAAGTATTGGAATTGGGAAATTTGAGCTCCAGTCGTGATTGGGGACACGCCAAAGAGTATGTCGAGGTTAGTGTTCCTATAGTTGCATCCCGCAGTTTTATAGCCAATAAAACAATGTATCTGTGTCAAACATTACTGTCAGATCTCACCACATAGTATGTTCGTGATGATCAGTGACAACTGTCCAGAGATACGTAATCAATTTTAACACCGAATTTCACGTGTAGTTCTGATATGCAGGCCATGTGGAGAATATTACAATATGATAAGCCTGATGATTTTGTTATTGCAACGGGGAAGAGCTATACTGTTCGCCGATTCGCCGAGCTTGCTTTCGAGGAAATTGGGAAAAAAATAATGTAAATCTTATCACTTACCAATGACTTGACCCATAGTTGGTTACGTCCAGTACATGGTATACAAAAAAATCTTCTTTGTTCTTTCAGGTTCATTTGTTTTTTATGTGTGATCCATATCACATGGTGTGTACACTTTGTAAATAAGGTTGCATAGCATATTAAGCCACAGACCTAGTGCTCGACCTTCCAGTTCTGATTACTGAATGGAAACACACTATGCTGACTGGTTATTTTTTTACACTTTACAGTTGGGAGGGTGAAGGAGTGCATGAAGTTGGGAAAGAAGAGGACACTGGTATCGTTCGAGTCAGAGTCAGTTCCAAATACTACAGACCAACGGAGGTAAGTGAAGGTTAAGATTGGAAAGTAAGGGCTTTTCTTCAAGTCTCGATAATAAATGAGTTCGTCCTGTACTACTTAGCCAGCTAAGCCATGTGCCCAACAGTCATTTACCTGGGGCTTCATTATATCTTTGTAAGCCGTTAATAGAGTGAAAGTGGATGATGTTGAAAAGAATGAATTCCAGGTGGATCTACTCATAGGTGATTCTACAAAAGCGAAACAAAAACTCAACTGGGAGGCAAAAACTACACTTGAGGTATGTTATAAATTTTCAACTTTTCCTTTTTCATGCCGTACTTGTCCTTACTCACCATTTTAGTACACTAAGCTGATGAACAGTGGAAAGTTTTTTTTTTTGTAAGTGCATCATTGGGTATTCCCTTCAAGAGAAGGCCTACAAAAATTATTGCACACACTACTAGCACAAGTATTGCTTTTCAGGAGCTCGTGAAAGAAATGGTAGCAAGCGATTTACAACTCATGAAATCAAACCCAATGGCCTAAAAGAAATGAACCCTTAGTAAACAGTGTTCATTCTCATGCACATATATACGAAAATACCCATATGTGTACATAGAGCGCAGCCAACCTGCTACCTCCCCTCTTCTTTAAGTATGGAAAAAATTTCCAGTTGTTACGAAATGAAATTTAGAAACCAGCTAACATATGTGTGACTGTTATTATTTGTCAGTAATTTATATCATTACATGGCGTTGAAACATAAACGACCCACAACACGATGAAATAATGTCAGAGATTATCATCCAAGCTCTATTTTTTGCCTGATTTTTTGATACCACCACCAACAAGCGGACCCTTTTGAGCTGCTTTTGCCTGAATTTCTTGCAATTTCTTGGCTTCTTCCTGTTGTTTCTTCCTGAATGCAATGTCCTCCTAAACACCGATGTATTATTGCAGACGATTTTTTTTTCGAAACAAATTTCTGAATAAAATGCGAAAATCAAGATTTTGACACTCTTACAAACTTCATCAGATAACTCGTCGATATCTCTCCTCAATGGCAAAAAATCCTTCATGATTATGATTTGGAGAAAGACATGTGCAGAAGAATCTCATATGACCTTTTTACATCATAAAAGTCCTGTTACATAAAGGGATCGGCCCTATTTGATCAATAAAGTATGCTAAGACAAACCTCAGTGAGCTCCTTCTGTCCCTTTTTAGGCTTTTTTAAGGGTTTCGCTTTGCCTCCTTGACGACCAGACATTGACGTGAAGTGATATGTCAATAAGATACACGCTAAGGAAAAACAAAAATATAAATTGTGGGACGGTACCAACCGCATGTTCATCCATTTTCCTTTCAAATCATTACTGGTATCAAAATTAGCATCATTTACCAGTAGTAGCATCCTAAGATATGGATGTCTTAACACTTGAAACTTAGAAAGCTTGTATAAATTCACAATTCAAACATCCAATTTACAGGGAAACCCATACAAACATAGTGTGGGAATCCAGGATACATAGCTTACAATACTGACAAAGATCTCTTTAAATTATTGTAGAGCAAATGGTAATAATAAGGATGATATCTAGTGATCAACAATTTGCCAATCCCGAATTAGAGTTAACGGAATGAAAGGGATTAACTGGAAGAGTTACCCCTCTCAATCCTCCATTTCAAGGTCCTTCGCACATCACAACCTAACCAACGAAGAATCTCAGCCCAACCACTACTAATTCCACACGAACATCACCCATCAGAGGCTATTCAGAATCTGAAAAACCACTCCATCGCTTGTAAAATTCGGTAACGCATGTTTCATTCGTCGTGAGCCATTATGAAAACAGTAACAGCCACCCATATTTTTCTTTTCATTAATCTAAGTTTAGTCTGTGACAATTTTCCTTTTATTGCCTAAAAAATGTTGAACTCACAGTACAATAATAGTAGAAATACTCGAAATTGTCCGTTTTAGTGATGGATAGTCGAATATTATTAGCTGTTATACACTATGACATTATATCATACATTGAAAGCGAAGAGATAACATTGTACAGCAAATAACATACTGTCATTTAGCATTTCCTCTACACTTGGGTATCTCTTTCATAATGTTGCCACGTAATGTTTTAGAGTTTCACATTTTTAATTTCAAAATATTAGTAAAATATTTGAAACTTATGACCCTTATCAAGATACATTTATTGATTTCACCTGAAGTATTATAACAATTTTTTTTTCAAATGAATTTAAAAACGAGAAATAGAATGAAAGACACAGTATGCCTTGTAGTCAATGCAAAAGAAATCGAGGCACATTTAACTGTATTATCGCCCAGAAATTTTCATGAATATAAATAAAAAAAAAAAAAAAAAAGCACACTAATGAAACACTTTTAGAGTTTCATTCTTTTAGAGGAAAAAAAAAAGCACTCCCAACAAATACAAAAAATGCGTTCTCCGATTCTTTTCTCGAAGAGTAAATTTATGAATAGAAGTTGATATGATGTGATGTTTCTAATATGATGTTTCTAAGGAATATAGCCATAAAATTTTTTTAAAAAAAATGAAAATACAAAAAAAAAAAAACGGACAGGATAAGAAACAATAAAAAATATCTTTAGATTATAAAATGAAATACGTGTCTGAATAGTATCGCAGGTTCATTGTTAAATTTAAATGGTGAATAAATTTTCTGCCACTCTCTCCATAATTAGGGGTTTTACTTTGGGACCATTAAGTGGGGTTTTAAGTGGAGTTAAAGTAACTGGGATCGTACTACCTATTCCAATATTGTAGAAATTTTTTGCAGCTATATTCTTAATGACAACTAATATTGACTTACTTGTAGCAAAAAACAAATGATCCTTCATATGACTTTCTTGATAAATGTCTCCTACTTATAAGTATAAATATTATTTTAAAATGGACAGAGGTTTATGGTTGTTCAAGTGATCTAAAGTATCTGGAATTGTTTCAATCTCTATATTAACTAATTAAAAGTGATCAGTGCATTAAGTAGAAAATGGTAACAGATGAGAAAAATGTAGTCTTCCACATATACTACACTAATTAAAAAGGGTGATCTTTGAAATATTTTCTCAAATAGATCACCAAAAGGAAAATTTTAAGCTTTTCAATGCATAAATCTTGCAGAAATTTAATTTCCCTCACCCAGCAAATTCCATGATCTCATGGAAAAATTCAAGAAGAATATAGGAAGATACTGGTGATAACCAATCCGGTTCCAAGTAAAAATAATGGATTAGGAATGAAGTCGAAAAGATATATTGACGCTACCATACTAATAATTATAGCAGCCGATGTTGCAAAATTTTTCGCTATATTGCCAGAATATTTAATACATACTGCAACGGATAAACCACCAATGCAATACCAGAAAACAACAACCCAAACTAGCATATCAAAACCATATAGCATACCTTCATTAAAAATTGTTTCATGATCCTGAAACAAATTATTATATAACAATCTTATGACTCAGAATCACTTTGAATGTGGCAGTAACGAAAAACACTAAGGCACAGTGGGACATGCTTCCTAATGATTTAAGCAAACGGATTCCATGCAATCCGTTAAAACGGAATTACGGCCGACACTGGAAGCCTCATCAGATGAATGATCATAAATGCAGTATAGAACTGCATTATAGTAATGGTACCATTTAAACATGAACCGTCTACCAAATTACCGAACACTTCCGGATATCTTAGACTTCCTCGATAATGCTTTTTCGGCTTTTTTTTTTTTTATTTATGCAACAAAAAAGTGTAAAAATCAGTGACGTAGTACAATAATAAACATAGGAAATTTCCTATTTTGTATATATTTTTATATACAAAACCTTCATAAAAGAAGCAATGAAACTTGAAGGTATTCCAAACAATGCCAACTGCACATTACGTATCCATACCGATACAGATGGACTGGTATTTAAAATCTTTTCGAAATATATTCCTGCAAAACCGGAAAGAACGCATGCAGAAACAGAAGCCAAAAATCCTGAAAAGAACGGGAAATTAACAGTGAGAAACTTATTATTTATTCTATCATTTAAAAATCTTTTGATAAATACAAATAATAATTTCTGTTTGTACAATAAGTTACTACTTGTAATACAACTTAAGGGTTAACAACCTTCAGTGATAAAATACAGAAGGATTGATTAAAGTATACACTACAGCGTATCCTCCACTACTGGAACAATTGTATAGTACACATAGACTCTCCTTCCGTACCTCGCATTTCCCCAAGTACCTTACCACGGAAGTTTTAGAACTATTTCTTTAGCGGCAACTGGCTAGAAAGGCTGAATTGACGATTAAAATCAGAAAAGTGCTACCTAAATAAGGATCACTGAAAAAGGTCTTCTTTGTTCCTTGTTGGTCTAACTGAACAAGACATACACCAACAAAAAGAACACCAAGCGATAGCCATTGCTTTCTAGTAATGGTTCTTTTCAACATAATTACTGCAAATATTGCTGTTGTAAAAATTTTCAACTGTGCAGTCACCTGGAAAATGCAAATTCATATTCTTTCTTCAAAATCATGATAACTACTTTCCTTCTTCATTCTCTCTCATGCAAAATTATAAAGAGAAAAAGTAACCATATATGTTACTGCTTCCAGATGAGATGCTGCCAAATAAAACAGATTATTTTGTATAATGTAGATCACTGCAGGAATGCAGACTTTGAAAGTATCTTTCAAATTATAAAATACTTGTCGCTTCACAAGATTCAACATACTGAAATTCACTCGCGAGCATAATCAGATAATCATCCAGCTACAGAAGTAAAGCCTATTTTTTAGCCTTTTGAATTAAATAAAATGGCAACAAACTACCTACCACAATTGAATCCAAGTATTATAACGTTGTCATACTAAATATGGTGCCAATGAAGCACCCACTATAGTTTTTAAAAGTCTTAAAGAGAAAACAAAAACAAATTCACCATTTCTAAAGTGTTACGAACTCACTTGTTAACAGTGATATAGGTTATCAAATCAGTTAACTATCGGAACAAACAGAACTTTTTTCTGAGAATGCACCTGCATGGGAAATTTTTGACTCTCGAAGGAACCGAAACTTTAAGGATGAAGTTAAATAACCTGCATACGCTCTTTTCTTCATAAATGATGAAAAGCAGGCAAATGATTAATTTGAGAAGCTCAGTGTAAAATACAGCAACTGAGGGAAGAAACACCTTCTCGACAACTCGCACTCTCGAATACCGCAACAGTAATGTATGTGATGAATTTTGTAAGGTTAACCATATCAAAGCACTTAACTGTAGGATTATTCCCTGACTTTCCGTACGCTTTCGTACCACAGAAATGTTCATCTACAATGAGCAAATTGATTGTCACCGTTCATTTCCAGGCAATCTCTTAAGGTTTCCCTTTCTCAAACATATAAATTGAAGCGCAAATGATGAAACGCATAGGACTTACAGGGTAGAATTTCTTGACTAAATGTTGATTGTGATCAGCCAATACTTCATTATCTTTTTCAGTCATCGGAATGGGTATCAAAATGACCTTCCTGAAATGCACTACACCGAACGATAGTCATGATTTACAGATCGCGGAAATTCTCACGACTGTATGGACTTCATCTTCCCCTATATATTATGGATTGTTATTTCAATCATTTGTCGTAATGCTAAATATCAAAGTGTAGTAACAAATCGAGTTTTGAACATTATTTAAAATGCTGATTTGTGACGCAGTAAGTCGCTACTTCGCAAACTTTTTGACAAATTCGGTATCAAATGTATCTAGTACAAAATTATGGTAACGGAGAGAAGGAGGAGATGACTGATGTCAAGGTTGAAGTGTTGCTGTGGTGCAAATGAAATCTAACGAATGAACGAATCAACTGCTAAACTGTAAGCAGGACAAAAGAAAAATAGATATGAGGATATATAATATTGTAAAATATGATCTTGGATGAGTCAATCCATGCATAATCCCATCGACTTGATAATCTCCACAGTTTTATCCTTTTATTCCATCTTTTCTTTTGATTTTCTCCCCACTTAGTTTTTCATCTCCCTCTATTTCAAGTCCCGATTTCCTAGTTGTTCTTCCATTTTTAAAACGCTATAAAATATTGTAAGAGTGAGAACCATACTCACTTTCTCCCATTCCTGACTATATGCATGTTTTGGGCGTTTAATTACAATCATTTTTAAAGTATTTTAATCTTGGGAACTTAAACATCTTCCCTTCCGAAAGGTGACCATGGGATGAAACTGTAACAAAAACCAACCAAACACCACACAACAATGTGACTTTTAACATTAGCAGGAAAAAAAAAGAAAAACTGCAACTTTCTTTGAAAATCAACATCAGGAAAAAATCATCATGGAAGATGTGAAAAATAAACTTGGATGATAAGTGTAAAACATTATAAATAGGTGAAATATGAAAACAAATGAAAGTAAACCTAATGCTTTTCAGGCACGCATGTATAGCAATATACGGTTTTCAGGAATGAAATATGACAATACACCGGTAGATTTACAGCTGACAAAGATACATATGCATATCGCACTATCAGTGTCTGCAATTGCTAAGTGAAACATAACTAAATGTGTTTGTTCAAGTTTATTATCGTTATAACTGACCTGCTGAATGAACATTTATTAATATTTCTAATAAGTAAGCCTTAAAAAATACAAAAACAAAAATAAGCCGAAAAGAAGTGAAGTTTCATGTTACTACTAGTAAAGTGTAGACTCAATCAAGCTTATAAATGAAGTTAGAAAACAGGAAACGTAATGGTGACACATCAAGAAAGAGAAACAAGACAGTAAATCCAAAAATAAGAGGAAGATAATACAATAAGAGTGTCTTTATTTTCATAAACACCAATATTCAAACCACAAAATTTCTTTTGCATTCTGAACTACAAAAAACCTCCTCATTTTTGACGATGAACCTTTGATTCAGCAGCACTTTACTGCAGTATCTGCACCTAAAAACAGCTTCCATATGATGAAAGGATGCATATGAGTACTGTCACATGAGAAGTACATAGAATCTTATCGCAGTAGTCAATTATAAGCGATCGGTATCAGACATTCCTTTCTAAAGTCAGTCTGAAAAAAGAAAATGACAACACACCGGAAGCAATTGTCTCCAGCATGCCAGTGTAGGTCTTTGAATGAAATCCGCTGTTGATCAGGTGCTATTTTGATGAGGCAAAATCGGCAAGTCTAAATGTTTATGAGCTATTCAACATAAGAAAATAAATTTTTGATTTAACTGCAATTACATAATTACATGTGGAATTACCCATTGTTAGAAGTATACAAGATTTTTTTCTAATATGTTAAGATGGAAATATCTATTATGAAATAACATTTTAGGATCCACCTTTGCATATCTTTTCATATAGCAATGAAAGCAGTAAGGCTGTTCATCTTTCATCATATAACGATGGCCACCGAGTTGCATATCACACCCAAAACAACAAAAATGATCCAAGTGCCAACTTTTATCCTCCGCGAAAGTATATTCTTTCGAGAAAATAAGCTAAAATAGCACCCATAATTATTGACTCTCAACAAAAGTAAGATACTTAAGAAAACTGAGGATTCTATCCCTAGGAATATTCAGTCATCAACAAAAGTACGCCCTTAGATCTTAGGATAAGCCATAACTATCGATAAGCATGGATATTACTGAGCTCAGAGAGATAGACAATGTCATTCATTAAAGGATAACGTTTAATTTATCTATTGGTTTATTTGTTAATAGTCCAGAAGCATCCATTACACCTCCTAAATCCAAAAATAAGCCTTTTCGGTCCAAACTTTCACATCAGAATTTTTATAAGTAATGAAACCAGCCTCATCACAACCGGAACATCTCGGATAAACAGAATCGCCGAAGTGACGACCGCAGTAATAAATACCATTCCTATAAAAATACAGAAGGTCCACAAGCTTCTGATTACAAACATGGCACTTGAAGCAGTTGACATGCCACATTTCCTAAAAATTCAAGTTTATGGAAGCATACAGCAATTTTTCCGAAAAATTGGTTAATCAAAAAAATTTAAAAAGACTGACATCTGGTGATCCATGATCTGTCACAACAGCGATCTCTCCGATTTGCAAATTCTTGTGGCAAAATTTACACTCCTAAAACTCAAAAATTTCAATGACTGTCTGATATGAAAAAACACCGGTTTCATCAACATTCCAAATAAAGCTGGAGATATTTGAAATAAAAATCGTTTATAGGTGAGATTAAATATGCAGAAAGTTTGAAGTACAAAATGAATGTAACAGCAAAATTCTTGATAACCCCATAATTGTCTTGCAAACCGACGCTTCCAATACTATGTGATCCAGGTGCTGTAGTTTTCTTCCAGCTATCATAAAACGCATTCGTTTCAGAGAACTCAATCAACTTGCCCACACCAACAATCTAAACTTTCCAAAATATTTTAAGTGGCATTACCGTTTGTTCTCATCTGAAGTAGAACATGTGGTTCGGCTACATAAATCATTGCAATATAGAAATCAGAATTAGAAAGAACATGCAACGAACCCTTTCCTTCACAGTATTTACATACTTCGCGTGCTCCTTCCTATCCAATTCAGTCTTCAAAGATTTCGCTGCAGATGCATCAGAATCATGATGTGGTAACTGAAGAGAAATATTCAAATGAGGAAACAAGGTGAAAGAAACGTTCGAATGTATTGCGTGGGTGAGCATTCAAATCTGACAAAAGAAGGAGATTAAAAAGTGAAATTTAAAATCATTCGTACAAAGATAGGATCAGTGATATGAATGATGAAGAAAAACAGTAAAATTGTCTTTTTAAATAGAACTTTGATTAAATCACTCTACCAAGGTTCAAAAAAAGATGCACACACATATAAGGTTGCTTAAGAAAAAAAAAAAAAAAACGGAATCAAACCTGATGCAGCAATTTATGACGCCGATCTAGGGCACCTTCAGTATCAGCAATAGGGCGTTCATTTTCTGGAAGAGTACTGAAATATTTTTCAGCTAATACTCTGTCAGTTGTTGGAACCCACGTATACTCCGACATTTTGTTTTTTTCTTTAGCATCTTCAAGTTTCACATTGTACATTGACTCTGGTTTGATTTTCTGAAAGTTGCTTAAGATAATGCGAATCAGTTTTTGCGAGCTAATTTAAAGATTTCTTAAATTAAAGTGCAAATATTTTCAGTGATATACCTAATTACTTCTTTCACATGAAAACTGTAGACCTCATATTTAATATTATGAACGGGATAAGCCTTTCTTGAGTACGGTAATGAAGGTGATGGTGGATGTAAATGTAATTTGCTTTCAAACTCGGGTATAAAGTCAAACAAACGACCTGTAAAAGAATTACATAATTAACGAAATATGGATTAGTATATTCTTAAACACTGAAGTTAATGTGTAAGATCGACATGCTTGGGTTTTTAAACAAAATGAACGAAAATAATCAGCGAAAGATGAAATAAAATGAGAACCTATCACTATTTGACCATGATCCATGTTTCGTGGCAAAATTACATCGTGATCATCCATTCTGCACGAACATACTTTACACATTTTTCTGCAAAAGTTATTTTTACAGTGCAGTAAAAAAGATATGAAAAGAAAATATCTCTGTCCTTACCAAGCATTAAAAAAAATTACCTCCAGTAGTGCAAATCGAGACCCGGACAATTACATTTTAAACAAGGAGAACCTGCACCGATCTCGTGACATAATATATTCTGAAAACAGTCATTAAACATCCATAATATTTCTATAAACTTTAAGAGTAACTAAAGCAGCAATATTCCCAAACGTGAAGCTGACATTGGAAAAGTTAAATACCTACCGCATCTTACAGAAGGAATAAAGAAGAAAGGCTTGAAGTATATTCTTTAAAACGTAAAAAATAAAGTATAAACTACTAATCCTCAGGGAACTGTTTCCGCAGTTATTAAGCGGCTAACGTATTACGATAAGTGCTTTTATATCATGGTAACAATTTCTTTAAGCTCCGATCTCCGAACGATTGCCTTCAAATTCTTGGAAGGACTTTTTTTTTAAACAAACATCAAACATATAAAAACTTCATTAGAAAAACTGAAGCTGATTTTTCCTTTGAACCTCAGTTTAGCGTAAACGATAAACAGCAAACCTTAGGTTTATTTTCAAGCTTGAAAATGTCTGGATTGACATGTGCGCCACGACGACAATCCACTTCACTGATCATTTCCACAACCAACACATGCATCGGATTACGAATATACTCACCAAATAGACCAGGTTGTAATCTTTTATCAATACCGTTATACTGTAATAGAAAGCATTGATCAAATAGTTAAGATTCATCTTTTGTCAATATTTTATCGCATGTACCAAAAAGGAAAAAAAGGATGCAGAACCCGAATAGAAATGCTATAACACTAAACTTGAAAATAAGCAACAGTCACAGCATGAAGAAGTCCAATCATTTTCACTACGTTATTTAACGGGAAGTGAACTCGTA